CGTGGAAGTACTCCACGCTGCTAAATACTAAGAGCGATGTTTCATCATCAACCTAGTATGACTAGAGCGGTCATTGAGACCCATGTCTCAATGACTATTCACGAGAGACTCCAGTCATGGAGTCGAACTAAACCCTATTCAAGGATCGAGTCGCGAATAAGGCTAGGAGCCGTGTATTGCATTCGCCCCCTGACAAGGTCACGGAAGGCACGACATCAGTCGGACAAGGAGAACATATGAATTAAAGTGCGGGGCACTCTCCGGAGATTGGATGTAGACATGTGCGTCGCACGATGGCAATCCTACAAGGGATCAGGCCTTGTATGGGTGTAAATACCTTATGTTCCAAGTCTGGTAGACTGTCCGCTACTGGCGGAAGTAGTCGGAGCCGTACAGTGCCATTTCATTGACTCGGTCTGTGATTGTAAGGACCTTTTGTACTTTGTGCTGACCATACTGCGGTTCTGATACTGATGATCATCATATTCTTGACTTGTGTGGTTGATGAGGTACCATGTGCGTGTTCCCCTTCATCGGATTTTTTCTGGATATGTCTTTGGCGACGTTCCTTAATATTTCCGGTTTGCTTTGAAAAAGATGTGGTGAGTCTTGTCACGATTTGCGCGCGTGAACTTGCGACGAAGTCATGTTCATTCCGGAGAGTCTTCTCGACCTCTGCGCGGACTCACGTTCTCTGTCATGACAAACCGGTCATGGATACTGGGTAAACCACGTCTTTTTCAGAACGATGGTTACTCCGTTGTGCTGTCTTGGAGCAGCCCTTGGTAGTTCGTTTGTCCAATGAATCTACGAAGTCCTTCCTGTGGATAGAAGAGCGATAGCTGGATCACATCTGTTATCCTTTTGTTAGGGTTGGATTCCTTCTCGAGTAGTCCAACTGTCTAGATACTCCAGTTCTTCCTTTTCGAGGAAGCCTTGGAAGTGTGATTTCGATCCCGACTTCTTGAAGTCTTTGGAAGTCATCTAACTATTCAAAGCGCTCTGCCGGCCATCGACGTTCCAGTTAGGATTAGTTGATTCATCAATGTATGACGGAATTTTCTAAGTCATGGCATGCGTGTTTTCATCTTCCTTTGGAAGATGTCGGGACTATTACATAAGCCCTTGGTAACCTCTGTACTGCTACTAGATAAATGCTAGACAAATCTTCCACGCGTTCCGTTTTTGGATCGTGGAATGAGTAGGATTGCTACCGCAACCTACTCTATCACACTCTACAGTCTCCCGCGGGAGTTCAGATCTACGATCCCTTGATTGTGGATCTCTCTCGTTGATTAGTTTTCATAGCTTTCTAATCCTCTCATAACTTTCATTCTCTCAAACTCAAAACACTCGAAAGATCTTTACACTAGCTTTTAGCGTAGTGCAATGGCGTTGGTTGGGTCGGTAGTAGATGGATTGGTAGAGCGGAACCCAGACTGTCTTGACGGGGTACGACAAGTATTTGTTGCTGACCAGCTGCGTACCGGTAGACCAAAATAAAATGGCATAGCGCAGCCAGCAGCATGGAATTTGGGTAATTGCACACGTTTTGTAGCAGTAGTAATACAAGGAGGGCTAGTGCAGGCGCAAGGAACTCTTTCGCTGTGCTTCTTGGCCACAGCAGAGTGCTGTGGTGGTGTATGGACAAGCACTGATAGCTGGCATGGAGCGCAAGAGTGTAGAAGGCTTCAACAGGTCCAGCGAGTTTGCCATGGCCAAAAATGAGAAATTGATGTTGACAGCCATTTACAAGTTGGCCTTCTCCTCTCACAATGAGGCGTTTCCAGTCAAACCTTCTGTTGCGGGTGTTGCTAGTAGTAGTAGGGAAGACATTGGTGTGCTGGTTGCTATGATAGAGAGTCTACAAGAGTCAAACATGAGCTACTTGTGTTAGAAGGGTTGGTTGCTGTTGAAATCAATAAAAATAATTTTCGGAGACTGCAAAAAAAATTAAAAAAACCTTGTTTTCAATCTTGCGTCAAACGGCTGTATGAGATTTTAAACACTACTTAGTACGATGTACCTGGTAGGCAGAATCAGGTTCGGGAACGACTTAGGATTCCATAGTGGTTCCGGTTACGGTTACAGAACTAGATAGCCAAACCCCAAGTGGTGACGGTTACGGTGACGGAACTATTTAGAAAATACTAAGTGGTTACGGTTACGGTTACGGTTACGGAACTAGATAGCCAAACCTAAGTGGTTCCGGTTCCGAAGTGGTTCCATAAATGGTTCCCTGAACGGTTATGAACTTCTATTTTAGGTCTCAGTAAGGGTAGGTGTGGCCTATAAAAGAGAGAAGTTACCTGATGGATAACCAGATAGACAGCAAATAACCAGATACAGAACTAGTTATTAACCAGATAACCAGATAGACAGCAAATAACCATATATGGAACTAGTTATTAACCAGATAGGTAACCAGATAGGTACCATTAACCAGCAGAAGGTAACCACATAGGTAATCAGTCACCGGAACCACATAAACGACCCATAAGTGGTTACGGTTACGGTTACGGAACTACGTAGAAAATACTAAGTGGTTCCGGTTCCGGAACCACATAGCCAAAACCTAAGTGGTTCCGGTTACGCTATCCAGGTGGAACCAGTGCGTAACCATACGAATAATGCGTAACCTCGACTAGTGGTTCCCGAACCCTGGGCAGAATTCTTGGAGGTTGTTTGATGGTTTTGATTCGGTTTTTTTCAGCGTTCGTCTCTTGATTCCTTAGTTCCAGCTCCCTACACTCCGTTAGCTCGCAATGGATCCTTATAACGAATACATGCACAACCGAATATTGTCAATCCAGCCATTGTAGCCGGCTGCCGTATAGTTACATCAGCGACAGTGGCAACAGTACCGAACACACTCAGGTTCGGCTTTGCTCGAGCGCTACACTCCGGTACAAGTACCTCGTGTTGGATCCTTATGACGAATTCATGCACAACCGAATATTGTCAATCCAGCCATTGTAGCCGGCTGCCGTATAGCTATACATCGGACACATGCAACAGTACCGAACACACTCAGGTTCGGCTTTGCTCACTACACTCGGGTACAAGTACCTCGTGTTGGATCCTTATGACGAATACATGCACAACCGAATATTGTCAATCCAGCCATTGTAGCCGGCTGCCGTATAGTTACATCGGCCACAGTGGCAACAGTACCGAACACACTCAGGTTCGGCTTTGCTCACTACACTCGGGTACAAGTACCTCGTGTTGGATCCTTATGACGAATACATGCACAACCGAATATTGTCAATCCAGCCATTGTAGCCGGCTGCCGTATAGTTACATCGGCGACAGTGGCAACAGTACTGAACACACTCAGGTTCGGCTTTGCTCCCTACACTCCGGTACAGGTACCTCGCATTGGATCCTTATGACAAATATATACACAACCGAATATTGTCAATCCTATTGATCTATAAGGTGTCTATCTAATGAAAGGAGTGGTCTATTGGTCGGTAATCTATTATCTTACGAGTTATCTATCTATCTTTATCGTACGAAAGAAGCAAGTCGTTCGCCCGAGGACTTGTGCATACAGGTAAGTGGGTACCGACACATGAATCACCACCAAAACACTAGGAAATAACACTGGAGGTATGAATCCAGTAGTAGGATCCACTCTCTTGTATATTGTTGGCTCTCTCATGTTCCCTTTTCAATGACTCGACGACGATCTCCTCCTCCGACGATCTCCTCCGTGCAGGCTGCTGATAGGGCTTGAGTTAACAGAGCCTCTTCCTCTTCTTATCCGGAGCGATCGGCCGTCGACAATGGGATTTCCTCGGCCGTCAGCAGTACAGCAGAGAAAACAACAAATAGATATGAGTTTTGTTTTCTGTGCTCAACTGCCGACGACCGGAGACTTTCTCTTGCTTTTCAAATTGCATCAACTTGGCCGTCATGGGCCAAGAACTGACTGCCATCCCATTGTCCATAGGATTCAATGAGGGATGGCTTTCGAATCTACACCGGAGAAGGACGACTTGAGTGAGACTTGAGATTATAGAGGTGTGACCGATCGATTCGAATAATTAAAACAACTTACCTGTTGACGGCCGAGCTCGGAATTCTCTCCTGAATACCATAGAAATCCAATGAGGGAGAAAAGTCAGTGCTGTACCTTCAATTAACACTCTTGATAACTTGATAATAGGCTTACCTCATTGCAATCGATTCGATCGATCGATCGATCGGCTTGGATTTAAAGAACTCCTCCTACCGGTAGCTATACCACTGTTGTCGGCCAAGCTGGTATTTCTCTCCTGTTTACCATAGGAATTGAATGAGGGAGAGAAGTCAGTGCTGCGCCTTCAATAATAACACATTTGATAATAGACTTACCCGTAATAGTAGTAGTAGTAGTAGCGATCGGCCGCTCCTCCTCCACCATTCTGTTGCTCTTGTTGTGTTGCTCTTGTTATTGGTTGTTGGTTGTTGGTTGAGCGCGAGTGAGGAGTGAGGCTGCTTTCAAAGAAGGGGCAGGTGGGCAGGCTGTTCCGTGAAGTCTGTTTGAATCTTTTAGTGTGAAAAGAGAGTACTCTCCAATGACACTTCCCAAAACAGCTTGCCCTCCGATATAAATCCAAGTCCACCATACTCCTCCGGGCAATTTATCCTTAACCTGAATAACTTCAACGGTTCCTTTATCCACGAATCGATCTAAATCTTTCGAAAGGGAACTTGTTACTTAACGATACACATGACCGTTGATTCTGCAACTGAAGTGCGGCTACTTTATTTCACACAGTAAACGCCGGCAAATCCATTCCAGAGTGCACTGAGGGGGTAACCAAAAGGAGCGTCGTCTCAGGAGACGTAATTATCTAGTTCTTAGAATTGTGAGATTCGAAAGAGAGGAAACTAATCCAAAGGCGAGGGCTCGATAGACCTCTGGATTGTTTTCCAAATAGTATCGAATCATTTCCGTCAACGTGACCAGCTCATTCACTCCTCTAAAAGAAAGCATGGCACTCATTGTCACCAACAGAGTGGGCAGACCATGACAGAATGTCATTATAACAGGCTTCATATTCAGCAGAATTGTAAAGGACTTTTGTGTTGGTCTTAACCGTACAAGCAAGGCCTGTCCCAATGTTGTTACGAACGCCATGGTAGATTGGATAATTCCCATCATCCAATGTAACATAGGAGTTGACACCATTCCTGCTTGTTGAAAAAATGCTGCTATCCAAGGTAAAACCAGAAATACCAGGGAAAACAGGAAAGTCACCACTGGTATCGGAACCATCCCAACAAGGGCAAGTGGCCGTGGAAGATGGGTATGGAGCACAGGAAGATTTCATGTTGCCATCGACTCCACTGATGGCTGTGGCATGGACCAAAACATCGTTCACACAACCATCATAATCATCTTCTTCCAAATCTCTCAGCACAAAAGTTCCGTCAACATTGCGGCCAATGCAAAGGGTACCTCGCCTAACGGCAACACTACTAACGGCAACACCCTCGTCACCAAATGCAAGGCTGTAGCTCTGGGCGCCGTTATCAAATACATTGGAATCTCCAATCAAGAGATCATCACCAACAAGAGCTTCAATGCTGTCCCAGCAGGGACAACGGGAGGGTTCACAGGGGAACCTCGTTTCTCCTGTTCTAGCCAGGAACTTTTCACGCAAACCATCGCAGCTGTTCTTGTCAGCATCAGGGGCTTCACAGTCCTGCGCTTCACAGTAGGAATTGCACAAACCAAAGTCACGCCCATGGTATTGATCACACCAAGTCTCCAAGGCAGGGGGGAGGTCATCAGGAGTGCCTTGAGCATGGGCCACAGACAAGAAGAAGGGTTGGGCCAAGAAAAGGCCGGTGGCAGCAAAGATAGTGTTGGAGAACTTCATTGTCTTGGTTGGATGGTTTGAGAGCAGGCAAAGAGGTTAGCTTGAGGTATTTCTGGCTTTGGCTATTGGTTTTTGTGAGCTGTTTTTGTGAGCCACTTTTGAGTTTGGCTTTGAGAATGCCTGGTTACTCGAGGGTGCATTCCAAAAGATACCCGTCGCGTTTCTATCGCCGAAACACTCACTAATAACAAAAGATACCGGTGGCGTTTCTACTGCCGAAACACTTACATCCTCGAGGTACCGGTGGCATGTGCTCTGCCGACACACTGAAAGATACCGGTGGCTTTTTTGCAACGCTCCTCCGAGCTCCCATACTTTCTCCAACGGTACCAGAAGCCCTAACAGTCACGATTGGCTGCCTCGGAATTCATGCCGAGCGTCTTACTTTTCAAACCATTTTAGGGACCATTTATCTGTCCCGCTTTCGGTGTCACAGTTGGCCACGACCACTCCTGCTCCACACATCATGGTATCACCATAAACATTTGAAATTTTGGAGAGCTGCTATGGTGCTACCGGTAGCTCTATCCATAGTGTAGTAGTAGTGCTCGGACCGGATGCGGAATGCGGAGTAGTACATGTGTGTTCTTTCCTCCTACAAGGACAACAAATTTTGAATTCAATCGAATCGAATCTGCTTCAGTGCGCACTCGGCAACGCATTCACCACCGGTACGGTACAGGTACGACTGTACCGGAAGCCGAATTCCCCACGCTTTCTGCATGCAGGCTAGCTACATGTAAAAGGAGATCCGAGAGGCAATCGCAACAATGGCTTGGGCAGGACATGGGAGATCCGCCACTGCATGTATATCTTTTTATTAACGCCAAACCCAAGGCGAAGAAGAAGGACTACCGTAGCGGTACGGGGTAGCTGAGTATGGCTACGTAGCCACCGGTACCGCCGGTACGGTACCGGTGGCTAACTAGATATGTCGTACCGGTACCGGTACCTGTACGAGGTGTGTTCCGACGTTCCGACGTTCCGACCTTTTTTAAAATTAGTCCTTGATTAAAACTCCATTGAAGATAGAAGGCAATTCTAACTCGAGACCCGGCAACTTCGCTGGTTGCACTGCAGGACAGTTTTGGGGCCATAATTTAATACTTTCCGGTATTTTAAAAAATAGTAAAATGCTAGACTTTATTACTGTTATAATCTGTTTTAATTATCTGATTTTGGCGATGTTGGTGGATGTCGGCTCTGGTGGAACCAAGATCGCCATTTTCACCGGGACTGCCGAGATCCGCGGGGAGACCAAGAGCCCAGATTATTGGGCAAGATCGGCATTGTGAGGGCGAGATCCACAAAATAGGTTCTACGGCTCTTGCCAAAATAAAAAAACGAGGATTGGGAAAAATATCTTAGTGTAATTTTTAAATTCACGCAATAGGTTTTACCTGGTAGTCCCAAAACTGTCTTCTCGGGAACCCAATTGATGATTGGAGACTAAACAATGTATGTTATTCAATTGGTCCGTTAAAATGAAGCCTGAGTTGCCGTCTCGGAGAGTGTCATTAAGGTTTGTTTATGAGTTTCTATGGAGACAGACCAACCTGGCCGGGCAGATGCCATGCATGCATACCGGTAATATACTGCTGATACAGTACCTTAAACGGTACACCTAGCACCTAGTAGACGTGTCCATGACCACTCGTCGTCGTGCATAGGTTGCAAATGACACATCGGTTGCAAATGACACATAAAATCTTTCTGTTGTATCCCGCCCTCATCAAGTGCTGTATGTAGTACAGGACGGAGCAAGTGGGACGCTTGCGGAGCCAAGCAGCTTAGCTAGCTTTTGGTGACCCAGTTTTGTAGCTGTTTTTTGGTGCGAGTCCATAGCATGGTGCTCTGCTGCTCTGCTGCCAGGCTGTGATCCCACTGCAAAGGCGTGTCGTTGCAAAGCTTCTTGAGCCGGAACAAACCGCATGAATGATCCCATGGTCTGTTTACACTCGTCAAGACAGAGAGTCCATAAAACTGCCTTCTATTATTAGCTACCAATCTCATTGACTCGCCGGCCAAAGCAAACCATAGAAGGACAGAATGCTGTCGAGGACTAGAACAATGGCATCTCGGCTGCGATGGAGCCATCGTATGACAGCAAGTACTCGATTCAAATCCATGGCGACAGCCGAGAGCCAACAAGAACAGAACAGCAGCTTGGCATCACCGTCTATTTCCAGTGTCAATACCAATCATTCATTAATAAAAGTTCCTTCCGTACCCATTTTTGGATCGACTCTTTCCATGTTTTCTGGAACGCCACCTTTGAACAAGAACAAATTTTTGCAATGGTGGGCAGCTCTGCATGACAGCTATGGTGATTTCTATCAAATTGGCATTCCCGGCATTGGAGCTGGTCAACAAGGGATTACTCATGTCATTTCAGATCCCAAAGAAATGATGAAAGTTCTCAAACAGGAAGGAACACACCCCAGTGGATTGGTGGAAGCTCACTGGGCAACTAAAGCCTATTTCAATGACCGAGGCTATGCCGTGGCTGAAATGTACTCTCGGGGGGAATGATGGAAGCGACATCGATCTTTTCTTCAAAAGGACCTCCTGGCGCCTCAGGCAGCACGGGAACACTTGCCCGTATTGATTCAAACAGCCCAGGCGCTGAGTCAGCAACATCTGCCCCGCTACCATAAGAACGGAAACAGCAATATGAAAGACTCCATCATGGAGTTCCTCAACCTTTGTTCATTGGATTTGTTTACCACTGTCTTGTTTGGAAGTCATCTGAGCAGCAGCAGCAGCAATGACACTGACAATGGATTTGATCATGACCTCTTTCGGAAAAGTGCTGTTCGTGCCAGTTCCGAGTCCATCAAGCTCAAGCGAGATCCTCTGGAAGGCTTTCTGTACAAGGCTCTAGGCATGATGACTACAAGACACAAACAGTTTCGTGCAGATGCAGACAAGGTCTTTAAGATAGGCATGCAAATGCTGAGAACCTTTCAATGGGACCTGGAAGCAGGAACACTAGGGGAGAGCAGATGAATGCATACATGGCCAAGGCATTGGCAAGACAAGAGGAAAGTGATTTGTCCGTTCAGGATGTTAATGAAATCTGCACCATTCTGCTCATGGCCTCGGTTGACACCACAGCTGGAAAAGTTGCCTGGAACTTGCTACAGTTGGGACTCAATCCCTCTGTACAGCAACAACTTTACGAAGAAGTCGACGGTTGGGTTCAAAAGGAGGGGATGCTGGTGCCTGAAATGTTCAACAGAGCCAATACTCCAATCTTGCAAGCCATTATCCGCGAAACTCATCGTCTGACGCCTGCAGTCTTTATCAACCTGATCAAGGAAGTCCAGAATGCGCCGGTAGAGCTTCATGGTGTGACGCTATCTCCTGGGTCAGTTGTGGCATTTGATTCCTACAATCCTGGACGGAATCCCAATTGGTTGGAGCATCCTGAAAGGTTCATGCCTGAGCGTTGGTTTTCTGAGGCTGTGGAAGCTCGTAAAGGTACCCCTGCACAGACGCTAGATCATCCCTTTTTTGCAGGACCGTTTTCTCAAGGTGCTCGGAGATGTCCTGGTTCTAGAGTAGCTTTCCTGGAAGTCCAAGTGTTGTTGGCACAGCTTGTCTTGGACTGGAAACTTGACATTGCTGAAGACATCCAGCTACAAGACGTCGAGAGCAAGCTGGAAACAACGCTAGTTCCCGTATGGCCACGTATCCACTTTGAAAGTAGGCAATGAACATTCGTTTTGGGGACTCTGGGAGGAAGGCGTGAGAAAAATAGATCTCTTGGCTACATCGGTGCCGCAGCCCAATATGTTGTCTCTAGGTAGAAAGGCAATTACGTGATTAGCTAACCAATATCAGGCGCCGCTCAAAAGGAGGAGCAATTTGTTTCTCCTAACTGGTAGGGCTAGGCGCTGATGTTTACGATCATTGTGTCGGTGGAGGGATCTCGGGCAACAATCTTGTCGTCTTCATCGCTCACGGACGACTCCTCTCCAGACGATGCAGCAAAAAGTGACTTGGATGGAGAAACGACGGGCTTGGTGGGAGAAGCCGCGGCACCACCGACTGCCTTGGACTTGCGCTTTCTTCGCCTCTTTGGCGGAGTAAGGCCAACTGGCAGAGCAGGAAATTCACTGGTACGGTCCACCTGCTCGTCAGGATCCTTGAACTCGTCTTTCTTGGGGCTGCTTTCACTTTCCTTTTGTGGACGTGCCTTGCTACCGCTGGTGTTGCTATTGTCGTTACCATTTTTCTCTTCAGCTGACTCCTCTTCCGATTTTGGCGCTCGAGCTGGACGTTCAGGAGCTGGTGTCTCCGCCATGATTTCCTCGATTCTTCTCAGAGCCAGTTCCTGCTTGGCTGGGTCTCCGCGGAACTTCACCGTAAGATCCTCACGGTTCAGATCGATCCTGCAGCCAAATTCTTCTTGCATGGCTTGAATGTTTGCACCTTGTTTGCCAATAATTGGAGAAATGTGATGCCGCTGAATCTTAACCTCCTTGTTCTCATCTGGCTTGGCCCATTCTTCCACCCACTCTTCTACAGCTTTCTTCGCTGCCAATACGTTGTCCTCACTGCCTGTGATCTTGACAGATCCTTTCTTTGATGTTTCAATTTCCACTTCATACTTCTTTCGGAGCTCCGAAATGTGGGCTCCTCCTTTGCCCACAAATCTAGCCATGGCATCCGCAGGAACATCGACGAATGCGTTTTCTTTCTTTGCCTGGTCGACGTGGTTTTGAATGGCTGACTTGGCCTTTGTGACGTCCTCTTCTGTCGTTCCTGAGACCACGACGGTGCGCTCCTCCTTTGAAACTACGATGGTGCAGCCAGATTGCTTTCGGATGGAGTTGATGCGCCCCCCTTTCACGCCAATGATAATAGGAATGAGCCAAGCTTCAGACGTGTCGAATTCGAACACATACAGAAGCCTCTCGGCCTCGTCGACTTTTGCCTGGATGCAGGCTTTGGCGTCTTGCATGCGCTCACTTTCGGAGGATTCAATGATGATCATGTTGACATCCCGATCGAGCCAAATGGAGGTGCCAGTAGACGAGGCAACTTCGATCAGCGCTGTCGCTTGACCCACTGTAGCGTTCAGGGTCTTTGGCAGTTTGATTTTGCAGAGTTCACCTGGAACCAGAAATTCAAGGAAATCAAACACCTGAAACTTGGCCTTCTTGACATTGTTCCTCTTGCCACGGATCACGACTGCATTCTTTTGATCATTCAATAAAATATCCGCCGCCGTTGACTCCTTCATTCGAGCAAAATGTGATTCGTCGCGGCTGGCTCCTTTGATTTTGGCAAACTGTGAATCACCGAGTTCCAAAATGCTCTCGTACACTCCAGTCAGTTGCTCATTGATGAGTGCCACGACATGCTTGACGTCAGGTGCAACTCCACGGACTTTGATTGTCGTGTCTTCGACTGTCAATTGCACGGGAATATTCTGGGCGGTTCGGCGCAGTAGATTATTCTTGTTCATTGCTTCCATTTTCTCTTCTGTTGTCTTGACTTCTTGTGTGATTCTACCAGAAGCAATCAACTTGAGCACTTCGAAGCGACAGTTGTTGGCATTCTCCTCGGGACCGCGAATTGTGACTGCATCGTTGGTACGATGAATGTAGATGGTCACGCCTTCATATTTAGCTTCCAGCGACTTGCGGACTTGTCCTCCCTTTCCAATCACAAGTCCCAGGGCCTCTTCGGCGCACAATATTTTGTGACAAGTGTTGCCTTCGCCACCATAGAGGTAAGCTTTGATTTTTTTGACCGCAGCCTTGACTTTCTCCATAGATCCCTTGACCTGAATGCTGGACGTTTCGCGATTTGCTGAAAGATTGACCTCCAATTCCTTGGCAAACGTGACGATTTTGCTTTTCTGTCCACCCGAAAGCAGAGCGTCTCGGTCAGCGTCGGTAATGTCAATATTCTCCATGTAGTTCGAGGTAAGAAACTTTTTGACAATTTCCGCAGCTTTGCCAACATTTTCATCAGTGCCTCGAAGAAGGATGGCCGACTGATCCTTGTCAATGTCGAGTTTGGCAAGATCCGTGACTTCCGTTCTGACCTTGGACTGTCTGATCAGTTCTCGATATTGAACGTCAATCAGGGCAGGATCGACCGGAACTTTGAGTATCTTGTTCTCTGCAATAATATGCAGGACACTCGCCTCGACTTCCGCCACCTCCTCCGGACTCAGCCCATTGATGGCAATTTCTCCAGTCTTTCGGTCAACTTCAATATTGACTTTTTTGTCGCCTTTGAGTTTCTTGATGTTTTCTCCTCCCTTCCCAATGACCTGAGGGATGGTGTTGCGATCGGCCATGATGCGAATGGTGTTTGTATCAATTTCACGAATGGCTTCCCCGACCATGGCCACTGCGGTTCCAATGGCCGCCTGTTTTCCTTTGATGACCAAGTTCGAGTTGTCGCCGGTGGCTTTGTCAAACGAGAGCGAGACCGAGCCAGCTCCCAGTTCTCTGGTGGATTCGCTAATTTTCTTTTGCAAATCCTTGATCTTGACGCCATTGGCCGTGAGGAATCCCTGCACAACGGTTTTGCCACATGGAATCAGTTTGGTAACTTCGGCATTGGCGGCAATCATGTCTTCGATTTCCTTCATGGCCGACTCGACTTGCTCCTCTGCGCCAGCCACAATCGCGAGGGATTGTTCCTCCGACTTCTTGGACACTTCAATGGCCACCTTATAGGAGGACGTAATTTTTTCAATATTGGCACCCTTCTTCCCAATCAACAAGACGGCTTCGGCCGCGGTCAGTTCTCGTTCTCGTTTCGCTACACCCATTGCCTGAAGACTCTGTTTGACTGCCGCCAATTGTTCGGGTTGTCCTCTCATGGTGAATTTGTGGGTATTTCGGGCCACTTCCAAGTACATGTCGGGATGCCGTTGTCGCATGTCACTCATGGCTCCGGTCGAAGCGGTGGTGAGGTATAGGATGGATTCCTGTGGTAGCTCCAGTTCCTCTGCGGCGGCCATGACAATCTTGTTGATTTCCATTTGAGCATCCGCAATGGAAGCGTCACTGCCGTGGATTGTAATGGTACTCTTATCCGTGTCGACATCCATACTGACTCCGGCTTTTTCTTCGATTTTCTTAATCATGGCACCACTCTTTCCAATGACTTTTCCCATCTTTTCGGAAGGACAGGAGATGGTTGTTTTCTGCATATCTTCAATGGTGCATCCAATTTTGGCGGCCAGTTTGGCCTTGTTGACTGCCTTTTCTAGATCCGCAATCTTATCCGTCAGAGGTGCCATTGCTTTTCGCATCTCCTGGACTTGAGCCTATTATAATATCATTAAATAAATAGAATAGATTGAGAGGGTAAGAGAATGACAAAAAACGAAGACGTTTCCCAACTTCAAGTAAGTTCGGCTCATCTGACCTACCTTTTTGGAATCAATCAATTTGTCATGGTCAATTCTCTCTTGCAGAGCTCTCTTGTCTCGTTCTCCGGCAAAAATCCGCTTCATCAGCTGCTTTTCTTCTGTCAGACTCAAACTGGTACGGGTACGTTGCGTTTCCAAGTCACTGCATTAAAACAGGGAAACCATGGATTGTTATCGGTGAGATTCGATTCACAGACATTTAAAAATCCATCCATACTGTATGCTCGATGGGTACCGGTAGCTTACGTGAGATTCTTGTCGATTTCGGACATGGAACCACGAGGTTTCTTGGGGCTTTTGGCAAACAGCTCTTTCAAATCATCTTGGGTCTTGGTAATCATAGTCTGAATGGAAGAAATATCAATAGTAGGGAGAGAGAAAGAGATGGATGGATCATGAGCCACAAAGAACATGACAACCCAGCGTGTAAAAACTTGACAACCCAGCGAGGAAAAAGGAAAGAACACAGGATCCACTTACCCGAGTCTGATCCCTCTGATTTACCATTGCCTTCAGGTTCATCTCTAGTTTGGGAAGGAGATCCATGGTTGGAGTGTTCATAATATATATTGCTGCGTTTTGGATTATTTCTCTGTCTAGAAGCTTTGTATTCTCTAAGAAAATGAGAAAACTTGGAGAAGAGCGATCACTTTTTCTCACACCATCCCTCCTGCCACCCATCCAAACAGTCACAAAGGATCTTGTGGGAAATGACCTTGTGACAATCCTCTAAATAAACCGTGATTGGCTCACGCTTTTGTCCAAAAGTAGGACCAGAAAGCGGACAACCCAGCAAACCGCGTCAACGACGAAAGGTTGGTCGATGCTTGGTTGGTTGATGGTCGTGGCATCCAATGACCACTGATGAAGCGGTGCCAGGAACCTGCGATACTGTACGCTGAGTAGTCTTTTTGGAAAGATGCTATCTCTCCTTGTTAGGTAGCGGCGGCTAGCCCAGCTGTCCTACTAGCTAGTAGCTTCTCCGGTGATGAGATAGATAGTACTACCGGTATGTGTTGTCCAGGTGCTGAGTGGGAGAGCTACTAGAGGTATCTGGCCAGACAGTTCCGCAAAGCTGTTTGATTCTTCAACTACCTTACTTGGGTCGTATTGCAAGGTGCAAGCCCAGGTTCTTGCATTAGTGCATTAAATGGGCTTGTGAGAATGGCTGCCACTGGGGTGCATCAACGTGGTATTCTTGCTTGATTGCGCTGAAGCGGCCCAAGGTGGACATCTGCATACATGTACGTTGACATGGGCTCACGAACAGAGCTGTCTGTGGGATGAGTGCACATGCGCCAAGACTGCAAAGGGCGGTCACCGCGAATGGATGTGTGAAAAACCAGTGAAGAATTTCATGTTCCCGGTTGGCCTTGACAGATATATCCGCTGATTCTATCGTGCGGAGCGCTGTGTCATTCTACACATAGACCTGGTACCGAGAATATACCTGATACGCATAAGGGAGGACAGGACTACGGCACGGCAAGTAAAATGGAATCTTGGGACAGTGACCATGTGGGTCCGGTGCAATACCGAGCAAAGTGTTGGTAGAGCTGGTTCTCTATAAGCCCACCCGTTTATACTATCTTTCTATAGACCACGCTCAGGTCATGTGTTTCATTTTGGAGGATTTTTGCTTGTCATTGCCATAGATATTGAATCCGAAATCTCGCATCGATTGAGCCACTTCTTGGTCCTTGACGTGTTCCACCTGGTCCCCCCGCGATAGCTCTTGGACCAACCGCTCTGACGCTGTTTCCACGTCGCGATTGTGCAGCTCTTGCGCCACCGCCACCGACGACTGCGCATTGTCAGCAGCAACGGTTCCACACATACCGCAAACCAAGGCAAGCTGGCCATTGAGAAAGGTGCACGTGGGGCAGGACCATTGTGCTTCGTCTGGGTTTGCTCGGCGTTGCTGCTTGGGTGGACGACACACTTCGACAATGTCATCATCGTCATCATCGGCCGTCAAATCCACCAAATCAGACGAGCTTGGCATTCGAGCAGCAGCATCAGAGGGCACGGTGCTTCGATCGATTGGCATTTTGCGGATTGTTGCGTCAGTTTTGCTTTCCGCACTTTTTCCCCTGTTGTCACCCCCGTTGCTTGGAATTGATAAAGAATTGACGGCTGGCAGTTTGGTATCTTGATGGTTTTCTTTGGAATCCTTGCTCTGGTTGTCAACGTCCATCTCATAGTCTTCCTCTTCATCATCCGACAATTCAATAATTTCTGGCTCACATGGCTGACACCAAACTTCATCCTGCAGACGTCGCTGTTCGGCTGCCATTCCTGCTGCTTCTCCTGGTCGTAGCCATTTGGTAAATTCACCCGTGGTCCCACCCAGACGCTGTCCTCCCGTCACTTGTTGTCGTTGTTGTCGTGCTAAAGCTGCCTTGGCCGCGGCATTTCGTGAATTGGCAGCAGTTTTGGGGGGATTGCTGTTGTTTCTTACTCCAGCATTAGTAGTAGTTCGACTCTTTCCCAGCGTGTACGCTTGATCGTTGCCCACAGGAAACCCTTGTGCATCCGCCACAATCCCCTTTGTCAAAAAGACTGCGTGTTGATCTTGAATTTCTTCCATTAGCTTGTAAAAGCGAGCATTGTGTGGCGCAATTTCACAATGCGCCAGTTCATGACTCATGGTCCCTGAAATGGATTCATAGTCGAAAAAGACATCATGATTGTGGGGCTGCCGCAATCGCAAATGAATAGTGTGCGATTTATTGTGCCGTCCTCGAATGGTGGTTCGATTGTAGCCCAGGACATTGGATTCCATAATCTTGGATTTCGGCAATCCATCCCCACAGCAACACATTTCCGAAACACTCTGGACATTGTAGCCACGCTTTTGCAGCAGCGGCAGAAATTCCTGGTGAATCCGCTCCAACAAGGCTTTGGCGTGATTCTCTTCGCGCAACCCTTTAACAGCAGCAATCTTGACATTGCGCTTGTGGCTCTTGTAGTTTTTGGAGGACACTGCTTCTGTGTCCTTATTGTGAGAAGAAGCATTCCGATCCAAGTCACGCAGTGTACGAATCATCGAAGAGGGCGGCATGGTGATAGGATATAGGATGGCAAAGAGCTGAAGCTTTTGTTGTGCTCTCCTCCACGCTGCTCCTGGTTGTGGCCGTTGGCATGAAATATGAATTGAAAATTAGCCAGCAGAATGGCTTTAAAAATACAGGCGGGGAGAAAGACCCCGTCTTGAAACAACCTGCATCTTCAGGTTTGGCAACCACACAGCAAGCACAACTCAATGGAATGCACGTTCGAAGGGCTAGCTAGTCTAGTCGAGTTCATATAAAACAAAACATGGTTATGCATTCAATCAAGCAGCTGATGAGCTCTGGCCTTGTGGTCAGGGTTCAAAAGGGGACTTGAAGGATGAGCCACGACTTCTGCGCCCATGGTGCTCCAATGATCTACTAACCTCGGAGCACAGCCTTGTTCCAAGAGATGATCTCAAACGCGGAGCACCATCAGTCCGTTGGAGCAGCACCTTGTCTATCCAACTGACTGAAATGGGCATCTTCTCTATGAATGACCAGACTTGATAGATCTCACCAGAAGTCAACCCTTGACACTCATCCTTTTGTTTCCCATGAAAGAAAGAAACAAGCTATGTATAGGTGCTGGTAATAATGTTCCATCCATGCAGAAAGCTAAAAATCCCTAAAGCGAAAATGGCCCTGCTGTTTCGAGTGGCCTGAAGTTCCTTCTTTCAGCTATTGTCCACCCTCAAGAGCCACGCCACAGAGGTCGTTTCATCAGAGTTTGGCTTTTCGGACGCATGGTTTCAACGTCATTGCTCCCAAGGAGTTGGATACAGGTTGGAACTGGGGGTTTGGTTTTGATATTGAAGAGTAATATCACACTGATCTTCGTCCTGGGATGTACAGCAATTGCATAACTCTCTGTGACTGCTACAACTTCAATTTAGTTATGATATTGGACACAATAATAGTTGTTCGTCTCAAGGAATGTAGTTGTATAGATTGGCTTTCAAGATCTGGATTGTTGCAGTGGTGCGTACTTTAGTACCTCGACAACCTGCAATCTTCCGGACCTGGTTGGAGCTTGCTGGACTTCCCTCCCAAGCATTGGCGTGGATGTCCATTGCCCGGTGCATTCCCGTTGGCCTTCCTTTCAACAATCGATCATCGCGCTACAACACATAATTTTTCCATTTCGGAAATAGATGCCCACCCTGTTTTTTGCTAGTAATCATTTCTGTGATGAGTAATCCACATATCGTTTGAGATACGATGCTGTAGTCCGTAAGTTCGCCGATGACTTGTTGTTCACTTTCAACTTGTTTTGATTTGGTGTCCTGGTGTCCTGTGTTCTGAAAAACAACACTTTTCTTGGCGCGATCTCTCGTGACCCTCAATGCGGGGATCCATGTAAAAGTTAGTACCAAGCATATGAACATTGCATTTCCAATTATAGCCACCTTCATGCAGGGAAGGTCTGGAAACTTGTTCAAGCATTGAAGAAGAGGAGTTCTGGGATGAAGAGTGTCCTGATGCTGATCGTGACTCCTGGAGCCATGCGAATCAGGACATTTGGAATTTTAGTCCGGAAGATTGTGCGTGTATAAAAAACTACTACTGTGACTGGACACCATCGTGCTGTGATAATCTATGTGCCTCTGAAGTACATGGTGTGTGGGACTGCATCCCTTCTTTCCATGACCTTGAACTCCACTGCCCCGATATTTTCTGTTTATCAGGCAGCTCTGGAGGAGGAGACAGCCCCGGAGAGACAAGCCCAACCCCAAGCGTGGACCCTAGCTGCTTTTCTGCAACCGCTTTGGTTGAGGTTTTGGACAAGGGACAAGTAGAGATGCAGAAACACAAGGTGGGTGATAAGGTGCTTACTACCACTGATACTGAGAAAGCTGAATATCAACCAGTGTATGCATTTGGTCATCGAAGCCCAACTACTTTGGGGCGATTCCTTCAAATCACCACTGATACCAATAGTCTCGAAATTACTGGCGAACATTTGCTCTACATGGCCGACAAGAGTCACCCTGTCCGTGCTGATTCCATCATTGTTAGCGTCAAGCTTCAGACTGCTGATGGTTCTGCCAACCGGGTCAAGAAAATCAAGACAATCGTGAAGGAGGGGCTCTATGCACCATTAACTCCCAATGGAAAGCTTGTCATCAACGGCATGCAGGCTTCGGCCTACATTGCTCTTCAAAAGGATGACCAGGAGCGGTTCACCACCCTCAATGGTCTCATCACTACTCCCCACTCATCTTACAATCATTTGTATCTCGCCCCTCTCCGTGTTGTCTGCATTGGGATCTCTTCCGTGCCCTGCCAACTAATGCATGAGAACGGAAGGCCTCTCTACATCAAGTGGGGAATTGATGCTATCAATATGGCCCACAGAAACTCCAATGTCTACGCAGAACTCCTCTTTCTTGTTGTCACCGGCTTTCTTTTGTCAGGATTTGTTGCTGTGGGGGCTCTCTTTGGTGCTTCCGTGGGGCCGCTAATTGTCTTTTCTTTTTATGTTGCTTGCTGTTTTGGTCGTAAGATCCATGATGTCAAGACCAACAAAGTGAAGAAGACAGCCTGATGTGGCTAGCTAGGTAGTAGGTCCGGATTTGTCCTCATGGAGCTGTCTTATTTTTAAAACTACGTGTACTTTCTTTCTAGTCCACCAAAACTGCGCCCACCGGCTTGAGAGACCGATACCGTACGGTAGGGATCAGGAAGAGCCTTCCACAAACGCTCTTATGGACAGTATCCTCTTCAATGCTCTGCTAGCTAGCTAGTTCAAAGCACAAACAAGCGGTAAACAACGGAAGGGGGGTGTAACAAAGGTTCTTCCGGGACACTTTCCAAGCAAAGAGGAAGTCCTTTGGGATCAGGCTCCCTTGATGCAGCCAGCAGGTCTGTGTACATTATGCGGCAAGAGCCCTCATGGTGGTACCGGTTGCATTCAATACCAGGCTTGCAAGCATGCTATTGAATGAGGACTGAAGGTGGTGTGTCGCTTGATTTGGACTTGGACTGCAAAATGAGCCTTTTGTTGGAACGATGTTTCTGACGTCTGACGTACATGTACCTTCAGTCAACGTCAGATCCAAAAGTTCTTTTCTGTCATTTTGCTTTTTATGTCATTTTGCTTTTCAGGCCTGCACTCTTTCTTACTTTCTGGAACGCTTCATTGAAGAAGAGGCCAGGATGATTCCCGACAACAAGCAGACTCTTCTCACCTTGGTGTTGGTGTTGCTACCATGTGCACAGTCGTTCCTTGCCTCCACTCCAGCAAACCGCAAATCTTCTCATCAACGAAAATGGCGCTGCCCAACCCATCTCGAAAGCGCAGTGATGCCTACTTCCACCAACGCCTATTCTTACCGTGCACCAGCCACCGCCACTACAAAGAAGAACCCTCGCTACCCTGACTATCCTTTGGACAAGTATATGTCCAATCCCTACTTTCAGCTCATCAATGCAGCTTACCCAGGCCTGCAACTCATTCAGGAAGAACCTTTCATCTTCATCATTAATGATTTCCTGACGCCTGAGGAATGCCGCCGCTTGCGAGCCAAGGCCGACGAGGGCACACTGCGCCCGCAAATTGGTGGTGGATCGGTCTTGAGAACTTCCTCTGGTGTGGTGTGCACCCCAGAGGAAGTGCCCAGCATTCAAGACAAAATGATGGCCCTGACAGGTGTCCAAGACCGCAATCAACTGCAATACCTAAAGGTATCCAAGTATCAGCCAGGGCAAACCTTTAGCAAGCACACGGATGCCTGGCCGACAGAGGGGGCTCCCATAAGTCGAGGATGGGTCCACGAAGAGGACTTTTTTGGAGACGAGCGACGACGTTTTGTGGGATGCTTGCCTGCTTTGGAACAACCTAACCACAATACGTTGCTCACCTGCTTTGTGTACTTGAACGATGTGGAGCAAGGAGGCTGCACTTGCTTTCCCAACATTGGGATCCATACCGGGCGCTATGGCAGCAACTTTTACACTCATCCATCTCCCATGGACAGCCGCCAACGACCCGACGGCAGTGCCTGGGACTGGAACTATCGCAACAACCCGGAACCGCTGAGGGTTGCGCCCCAGGAGGGAATGGCAGTGCTTCACTTTTGCAGTTTGCTTCCTGAATATGGAGGCATCACCGACGGCAACACCTTCCACATTGCCGAACCACCCGCAGAGGGACAGGACAAGTACATTTCTCAGCAATTCGTTTCATCCTGCACTTCCTGGATGTTGCCTGAGGACAGCATGCCGCTTGGCCGAGTTTCCTGGGACACAATCTAGCTAGCTTTGAAGCTACCACTGCCTAGAACACAACAACGTCGCGTCACTGTAAGGTAAAGACGAGAGGTGCGAGAGATTGCAAGAGAGGCGTGCCGTAGCAATCGCGCAGAGCAACGGCTTCGGAGTACCAGCGGCATCACTAAGTCTCGGGAAGTCGAAGCTTGCGTACGACTGTGCATGAAATTGGATCAAATCGAAAAAAGGGGGACCGCAAAGTGCGAAGCTTCTCCTCCAGACAATAGACGGGCTTGAAATGCGGGTAGTCGCGAGGAAATTTGCCAAGTCTAGATAGCTAGTTTTAACGTACGCTTCCAGGCATTTTGTCCTTCTTTGCTCCTCCCTGCCTATTGCAGTAACGCCGCGATGGACCTTCATTGTTGCACCAGACTGTGCGTGCTTCTCTGCGAAGTGTCCCTGCATGGACACCCATTTTCACGAGCCCACTTGAGAAAAATCAAGTGACTGATGCTGAGCAGCTGCGTGACATGACGTGTTCCCATCCCAAGAACAAGCACTTGCACGCAACCATTCAAGGGTTTTCAACCAGCCATTGAGAGCAGCATATCAGCCTGTCTTGTCACTCCTTGGACAACCATTGGCATGTGCCACTTGAGAACTTCCGCCAAGTGACCATGTTCAGCAGCTGCATGAGATGTGTTCACATCGCATGGACAACCATTAGAATGAGCCCACTTCAAAGAGCTGCATATGGCCATTCTTAGCAGTACTAGTATTGCCAAATGTCCATGTATTCCATGGACAGCCATCTGCTAGCTAGTGGTGGCTATCTCTTTACCGACGAGTGGCCGCCTTGTGAGTTGTCGTGGAACGAAAGCCGAGTGCGCCAGGGGTGGGATGTGATGTAGACGCATCAAAAAGATTTTTTATTAGACCGCAGAGCTGTTTTGGCGCTTGGCCACTTCCGACCACTCGATGGCCCTTCATTTTTTGACTTTGTTCTGTTGTTCTGCATCCTGCATTTTTGTGTTGTGGTTGTTGACCATGTCTACTTCATCCCTCCGTGTGGTTCTTCTGGCATCATCTCCAGAGGATGCGGTCCTCGCGAACGCTGTCTGTGAGAGCCTGTCCTCGGAATTTCAGATCACCAACGTGTCCGTTCGATCCACGGATGTCCCTCTGGATCGCCTGATTGCCTCTACTCGCAATGGTGCATCCACCTTGTGGGTTGTTTTGTGCAACGACTCTTCTTCTTTGTCATCTTCCTGGCAAGCCCTTGAAGAATTGGTGGACCCCGTGTTGGAAATTCCAGTTCAAGCAACAACAACTTCGAAGGCCCCAGATGTCAGTCTCAAGATTGCCAAATTCTGTGGTATCAACACACCGAATTCCTTGGTCCAAACGGCCATGACGGCACGACGACAAGCGAGGCTCGTAGAGGATGCCCAACTGCACACCAAATCTCCACTCTACGAACACTCCATTGCTCGTTGTTTTGATCAGAACCAACAAATTGGAGGAGACAAGATTGCCGCCCTCCAGGACAAGCGACGCGTGGGAAAAGTGCGCGATCGATACGAAGGAGATATTCGTTTGGCGTTGGTCACCACGGATCGACAGAGTGGATTTGACCGCCAATTGGCACGAGTTCCATTCAAGGGAGCCGTATTGAATCTCACCAGTGCCTACTGGTTCGAAAAAACAACTCACATTATCCCCAATCATCTCGTGTCGGTGCCACATCCCAATGTCAGTATTGTCAAAAAATGCAAGCCATTTCCGATTGAATTCGTGGTGCGGTAAGTGCATGATAAGGATGCCATATGTCTATCTGAGCATTCGTTCTGCATATTTGGATCATCGTCATTGCCAAAACAATCTTTGGTGTTTTTGAATGGCTGGGTATCTATCTCATCGTGGATCTATCTCATCGTGGATCTATTTTTGACTTTTCAAATAAATACTATTGGTGTTCGTTCAGTTCCTACATGACGGGCTCTACTTCCACCAGTATTTGGAAAAACTACCAGGACGGAGTCAGAAACTATTGTGGACATGACTTGCCCGATGGAATGACCAAAAATCAAAAACTTGCCAAAAATCTACTCACTCCCACCACCAAAGAAGAGGAACACGATCGACCCATTTCCGCCGCAGATATCGTCGCCGAAAAGTGGATGACACAGGAAGATTTTGATATCTGTGCCAAGGCGGCCTTGCAAGTATTTGCCTTTGGTCAAACGCTGGCCGCCGAACGGGGATTGATCTTGGTCGATACCAAGTACGAATTTGGACGGGACTTGGAAACGGGAGAAATCCTCTTGATTGATGAAGTCCATACTCCCGACTCGTCTCGTTATTGGTTGGCCAGCACGTATCAACAACGCATCAGTGAAGGCAAAGAACCCGACAATATCGACAAGGAGTTTTTGCGCTTGTGGTTTCGCAAGAATTGCGATCCCTACAAAGATGAGGTGCTCCCCGAGGCTCCACGGGATTTGGTATGCGAATTGGCCAGACGCTATGTGACCCTGTACGAAATGATCACCTGGAACGACTTTGAATTTGATGCTCGTGGTGAAGAACCCATCGGGGAGGCCTTGTTGGCGCATTTGACGTGATTCTGTATGTACCGTTTGGTCAATGGTGTAGATAGCGGTATTGTAGTAGCATTTGGAGTTTTAAAAGCAGCATTTTTTAGTGCGTCCTAGCATCGCGTGTGCTATTGCTTGGTGGGTTCCACAGCTGATGTGGTACTTGTAGGAGGCCCTGATAGAGCGCTCATGGCAAAGCAAAAGGCACAAGACACGTAGCAAAAGCAAACTCCTGCTACCAACAGACCAGCTAGTTCCGTGGAAGATTGTTCCTGGCCAATCGTAGCTTGCCCATACATGTATCCCAGAATGCTGGGCGCCACATTGGCCACGGCCCCTGTCAGAGTGAAGAGACCTTGGCTGGTGCCACCAATCTTGGGTCCCACAGTTTTCTGCAAAACACTAATGGTTGGACCAAACCAGCATTCGGCGACAAAATACTCGGTGGCCAACCATGCCATGGCCACCTCAAAGGATTGACTATTCTCCACGGCCAGGTACCACGCGGGAGCTGCCAGTGCTGAACCGACGACAGGGATCCACAGCTTGCGTCCGTAGATATCGGCATCTCCTTCTTCCTCCGCATTGGCACTAATTTTATCGGCCAAAGAGCCTCCCAGCAAGCCACTGACAGATCCACCAACGGCTGTAATGGCGGCTTGTGCGACGGCGTATTGCGACTGTTGATCGGGAAAGATCATTCGAAAGTAGGGTGCCGACCAAACCCCAATGCACAAGCCAGAGCAGAATCGCAAAAACGATCCTAAAAAGAGCCATTTCACGCGGTCCGATGCAGTGGCTTCTTGTACGTCGGCCAAGATGGCATCTACGGGCGACTCATCAGTGCTGATTGTAGTTGTATCTTTTGATACCAAAAACTTTGTGTCAGCCTCTGGTTGCGTATCTTTGGGATCATTGGGCAACAGGATGGTCGCTACTCCTGCCACGACAAACCCATAGATGCCAATAATCACCAACGCCTCTCTCCAACCCACACTGGTATCAAGCAAGATGGATAATGATGCAAATGCCCCTCCCAATGCCACTCCAGTTCCATACAAACTGGATGCCAGACTGACACTTTCCTTGGGAACTCGTTGCGCAATCAATGTATAGGCGGGTGGAGTGGCAAAGGCACATGCCAATCCCATGGCGACTCTCCATCCCAAGACTTGGGAATAATCTTGCGAAAAGGATGTCCCCAAGGTGGCAATAGCCCAAACGAGACAAGCCGCCACAGTGAGTGTTTTGCGATTGAATCGATCGGAAATGATTCCTGCCGCCAACGATGCAAAGGCAAAGAGCGACGTAAACGCCAAGGACGCCAAGACACCGTATTGTGCCTCGGAGAAACCGACATCGACGTTCATGGCAAGCAGTGGATCGGCATCACTGGAAAAGTCCACGAGGTAATAGAGTGAGGATCGACTCCATTGATTGGAAATGTAGACTAGCCAGAGGGGTACCACCAAGCCAAAAATCCAAGGGAGTGGCGATGAATCATCAGGATTGTCCAATGATGATGATGCAGAGTCTGGATCTGGTTGTGAATCATCATCCTTCTGGTTGGCTCTCAGTACTGATTGTAGACTGAACTGTCTGCCATGTTGATATCCAGTGGATTGTCGCTCGTGACGAGGGTATCTTCGAAGTTTCCATGACTGCTGACACTGGCCACCTATACTTGGGCGGGCAAATCCATTGGCCTCTCTGAGCAGAGCGACAAGGCAAACCAAAGACCACAAAACTTGTAGCTTCATTTTTGTTTCTTGTGGTGTACGGTAGCAGGCTGTGAGGGAGGATTGATGCTCCCAGTGCGCCATTGTGAGGAGTTGCTGATGGGACATCGGAGGGAGACCCAATCTAAAGATCTTGGATCTTGAGATCTTGACGAAAGCAGCAGTGACGTCAGAAAAATGAGGCTTCAGTCCCCAACGTTGACCGAGACTGTGATCATCGGTGATCAGCCCATGCATCAGGAAGGCCTCGTCATGCGACTGTTAGTCCCGGATTCTTCTTCCTATGGTCAAAGTCGCGTCGGATCGCTGAAAGTCGTTCACAAAGTCGCGTGCGAGTCGTACGCGACTTTGGTACGACTTTCCGAACGACTTTCAGCGATCCGACGCGACTTTATCGCCATACTTACAGTAAACTTGCGCGACTTTCAAAGTCGTGTGAGAAAGTCGCACGCGACTTTGGTGCGACTCGCATGCGACTTTATGAACGACGTTTGATGCGACTTTGGTGCTCCTGTGCGACTTTATGCTGATTTTGGCGATTTTCAGTCGTATGACCGGGCCTTCCAGGACCATGCAGGCAGCTTTCACAATAACATTCAGCCCGCGAACTGAACCATTGCAGCCACTGCTTTGCCTAGCCTCGCCCCCCTCGCATCGTAAATGGTATATTTTAAGGTTAAAGCGAATGTTACCACGCATCAGGGCTGATCCCTAACCCAATGCAATTGACACTCCCATTGCATGCATCCGCCTAGGATAAGCAACTACTTTCGCTGAGTTTAATATTGACAATGAGGATAAGCAACGGCGCCAACAGCGGCCCAACAGCAATACAACCACCAATGCCAACAGCCAATGCCAGGGTTGCCTTGCTCTTTTGGTGTCGCTGATCTCTTTTGCTTTGTTGATAGATTGCTCATTTTCTGGGTTTGTCATGAATTGGTTGACCGGCGGCGGAATTGACCCAGAGTTTGTCTTTACTGAAAGGATGAAGAATACAATGAGCAAGAAAGGAGTGCAAGGTCTATACAAGTGGTTGCACGACCACCAGACTGGTATCGCCGGTGACCCTGCTAGGCCTAGCAGGAAGGTTGCCAAGACGGATGCCATGACCGATTTGGAGTTGAAGAAGAAGACCAAAGAGGTGAGTGTTAAATTGGAGGAAGAGGGTGCCAAGCTCGAGGACATTACCAATGAGCGAGAGTGGAAGGAAGCGGCCAGGGATGCCAAGGAGGCTGAGGAGGCCGAGATGAAGAAGCTCGATTTGGTTCTCGATGCGATTGTGGAGGCTGCTGGAACTCCATCCCCTGAGCCTAAAAAGAGGCCAGCCGTCATGCTCACCCAGCTCACCCAGGGCAATGACGATGATGACGACAAGAAGGATGATGACGACAAGAAGTTACCAGTTGGCGCTGGTGGCGGAGGCGATGATGATGACCTATCCGACGAAGACGTCGAAATCTGTTCCTTTTGCTATTGCCTCCCCTGCGAGATGAAGACCAGCGGAGACATTCTTGTTGCCATTGGCGATCAGCACGTTGGCGAAGGATACACTTCTGCCGAAGTCCGCTACCGTTTGTACCGTGAGGCCTTCCGTATTTGGAAAGGTGTTGTTGGTCGTGGCAACCGCACGCCTCTTCCTGCTTGTTTCATGGCTTTCATCAAGGGAAGGTACCCCAATCCGCCTGGTGTTCCCTACGTTGGATTTCTCCCCCCTCCTGACAGTAAAGAAGCTAGGCGCCGTCGTGCTTTGGAGGAAAGGAGGGAATTGGCATTGGTCAGGACTGCGAGCAAAGATTCCGACAAGTATGACGATGACGATGCTGATGACACGAGCCCACCCACTCCTCCTGTAGCTGGTCTCAGCCAGGCCTGGTCGCCGATCGCGACCAAGAAGCGTCGCAAGGATAACGGCGATGACAAGGAGGAGCCACCCATGGCCGCCTGAGCAGCCGTTGTAGGACCCATTTACGTTTAGGATACCAGTAGTAAGATAACAAAATAGTAAGAGATCAAAGTGAAACATAAAAACTATTAGACTACTAGTTGTTAGGGGATTTACATCTGTTCGAAATTGGCTCCAGCTTCGCCACGGAGCATCTCAATCTGAGCTTGCTTGTCGCGGTCGTCTTCGTCTTCTGAATCCTGCTCTTGTGTTAGCACTTGCGAATTGTTGTCAGCTTCGTCGTCAGCATCTTCACCCTCATTATTGCGTTTGTTCTTCTCAGTTTCGTCGTCAGCATCACCCTCATTATTGCGTTTGCGTTTGCGCGTTCGATGTCCCCTGTGGAAGAACAAAAGATCCTGGTAGATTGGGTTGGTTGTCAGTGGAGTGAAGGCGGGCTCACCCTTTCCGACTTTTTTGTTGTGCACTTTCCATAAACCCATTCCTTCAGCGCTGTGGACGATCTCGTGGCAGGTCAAGCCAGCAAACTCCGGACGTTTGAAGATTTGTCGTCCATTCCATTCAGACTCACCAGGCACGTGGTTGTGTGCCGGTATGGGACAATCTGTGCACCCAAAGACATTCTTTGCCAAGCCTTTTTCGTTGATATTCGCTGCCATGTTGTTCTCCAACCGACATACTGCGCACTTGACGCCTCTTCTGCCTCCCACCAAAGTAGTGGCTCGGTGTGCGGCTTTCTTGAATCGATTGTCGAGGTTACTTGCAACGTTGTTGGTAGTTATTGCGTCTTCCCCATCTTCGTCTTCGTCTACGTACAGCATCATTTCTTCTGCAACAATTGTGTAGAATTCGTAGCGTTTCAGCTCTTGTTTTGTTGAACGTACACTCTCCCGGGCCGCCATATTCCAAGCAACAAAGGCGTTCAAAAGATAACAGTCTAGAAGACCAAGATAGATCTTCTTGTACCATTTTTTGAAGTGAGCCTTATTGCCAAATCCACCACCATGTGCACGCAACTGATCTCCTCTGTCCACACCGCCCATGGTCCGCTGATACTTCCTTACTGGATAAGGACATGGCAAGGTCACCGCTTTGGGTCCAAGTTGTCGCTTCACTTCTACAATGGTAGTGTCTCCCAACGTACTCACAACGTTGACGATTCTGGAATCGTTCCACTGAATAGCAAGTACTTTGTTGGTCTTGTCCACGAACATTTTGTAGCTCCCACGATCAGTTTTCTTGGTTAATGTCATGAGATCCTTCTTCCAACCCTTTCGTCCAGCCTTGCAAGTGCCAGTGGCGATGATATTCGCATGTTCCCGGAGCAGAACAGCTAATTGTGGTGCCATGTAGCGATTGTCCAGCGCCATGTGTCGTGGAGCAGCGTTCGTGTCAAGATGCAAGCGCAGACTGTAGATTGCATTCATTGGTGCTTTCTGCGTAGTGGGCAAGCAAACCAGATCCTTGTGAATGCCAACGTTGTGCTTGTTCTTGCCTTGATAGACATCCAAATGAAAGATGCAGAAGCGAGTAGCACATGACAGGATGAAAAGATCGACACGAAACTTCTTGGGTTTGCTTTTGTTGTATTGGCGCACTGGACAATACTTTGAACGAGTGGCAATCCCACCCTCATCGAACGAAAGATCCCTGCCAACAACAAATGTGTTCCTAGCATAAGTGTTGAAGGTGCATATCGCATGGCGAAGCTGATAACACTTGTCGCGGTCCTTTTCAACCTTTTCTTCCGGGTGGAATGCTCCACGAATCTGCCGGAACCTTGTGAGAGGCATCACTCCGCCAGCAAACCCAGTTGATCCCTTGATCTTTCGCGGTGCCATTGAACGATCAAAGAGAATGCCCCGTTCTTCAGGGCTAAAGTATGCCGTATATCCACCGCCATCCACGGGTGACAAGGAAATCTTGAGCATGATCCCCAAGAAGTGATACATCTCCGTGATAGAGATGGGACGCCACTTCTGTCCATGATAGCGTCGATTGGGCAATCCCTTTACCATGTTATCACCATAATGGTTGGACTTACGGGCAAGCCGTGCAACAAATTCTTTGTTCAGTCCTGTAGTCACCGCCAGACACTCCAGGGGTGTGGCAAATTTGCCAGAAACTCCTCTCCTCAACTGCGTTGTAGCATCCGACAGGTCCGACACATCTAAAGTCTTATCAGACGGATCGCACTCCTCCCATACGAACAGAAGATCTTCGATCTTCTGCTTCAGATCCTTGGCTTCCGGTGGGATCTCTTCTTGTTCCTCATCACTGTCATCAGAATTTTCCTTCTCTTCTTCTTCGTTATTGCCTTCCAGTTCCTCGTCAACGTCACTCTCAATCTCTTCCTCGTCAATCGCTCCTTCGGGAATGGTGATGTACTCGCCTCCTGTCTCATCAACGTCATCCCCATCATCCGAGGCAGATTCGTAACCAGCACTGGGATTGGCTCTGGTGTGACGTCTGCGCAAGCTTGACTGTTCCGAAGAACCAGAACGTCCTGTTCTGATAGAAGAACCACCACCTCTTGCACTACCGCTAGAGAGTGAACTCACCGTGGTGGTAGCTCGCAAAGCAGCCAATCCAGTAGCAGCAAGAATCGAAGTGGGAGTGGATTCTTCCAGTTGCATAGGTGCCCTTTGTTGTACGTTCGAATCACGCCCAATGTTCTGTTCAGGATGTTCTTCTTGGTCTCTCTTGAAAGCTTTGATCGCTTCTTGCAACTGCGACGCCTTGGTCTTTGGGAATGCCCTTTCCACCCAAGCTATGGGTAGGTCTTCACCGATTGGTATGGTCCAGTTGATGCTGTAAAGGTTTCCATTGGCTGCTTTGGGACATGCAGTAACCTTGCCGCGAAGTTTCAGCCCGTTTGGGAATTTTGTTTTGAATTCGCCCCGGTACTGCTCCTTGATGTAGAAATCGCCGCCAGCAAGCAGAGGCATGTTGTTGTAGCGGAACCTGTTCCTTTTCTTCTTGGTTTGTGTAGCGTCAGTGTCCTGTGTCATTGGCTCATCCTGTGTCATTGGCTCATCCTGTGTCTCACGGGAGACTTCAGCATTGTGGTTGCTTTCGCTTTCGTTTTGCTGCGAATCCACGATCTCGCTCTGCTGAGAATTCAATGGTGGCATCTCAACCCTGGGCGGCGCAGGCATCACCGACACATCCACAAGCTGCTGTTGTACATACTGATGACCCCTGTATGGTGGATGTTGGTCAGGGCTGCCGGGAACTTGTTCTTCTCCACTCTCCATTGCTGATCTATTCAATTGTTGTGAGATCGACAAGAAATGACACGATTTTTGTTTCACCACAGCTTCTCGAGTTTCAGTCCAATCATGATGATCAACACATAGAAAAGAACGGAAATTTCCTGTAGATTCCATTTATCGCATTGTTGATCCGCCATTTCAGACGCTAGGGTGAAAAAAGGGGCTTTAACCCGAACCTAATGTCACACAGCACTCGGTTTCTAAAGGGGATGCATATTGACACGCGCTTTACATTTCGAGTTAACGTATCTATTTAGTATTTATTTATCCACACCATTGCACCCCCCAACCCGCAGTGGACGCCTATAGAATGTCGTTACCTCCCCCTCTTGGCATCGTTTATGAAACCTACATGACAGGAGCCGACATGGCAAAGGCAGCCGGTAACATTGACGATGCCATGATGAATTACCTCAAGGCTTTCAATGTTTTGCCACAAACGCAAGACTTCGACCAGTTCCGTCATGACATGATGCTTCAAATCTCTTACATCGGTGGATCGACAAAAACAAGTGCCTTGAAAGAGGAGAGCTTGCTGATCCTTGAGCGGTTGGTAGAAGACACAGAAAACCAAGAACCAATTTTCATCAGAGCTATCGCTAGCCATTTGCTGGCCTGCCACTACGCTGCATGCCACAAGATTCCACATGCACATGCTTGCTCCAAAGCCACCATTCAGTTGTGCAATGGAGCTACCTCGGAAGACAGGGGGCGAACCCATAAAATTGGGGGGACTGACTTCTCTGCAAATAATGTTTTTAATGACATTGTGGAAAAATCTGAGAAAATTCGAGATTACAGTGGGGACACATTGGCAGGCTATTCCAAACAAAGTTCAACTTTCCTTCAGGAGTTAGTTGGCCTGGGTTCAAACCCCTTGGATGTCCCTACGTCTCTCTCTGAAATGCAACCTGGGACAGCCCAGGAATGGCTGGACTTGACGAAAAGCAAATTGCAGCAACAGGGCGAGGCCTTCACAACGCCACCAACTCTAACCTGCAAGATCATGGAAACAGTGAAAGCCCTTCATGAGAATGACAAGACATTTTTGATCTTTTATCAGGGACCACTCGAAAGCGCAAGTCAAACACTGCAAGATCTGAACACTTCGGATGAAGCAGCCCAGTTGATTCGACATATGGATGACGAATGGCAGAATAAGCTTGTATACCGGGTGTTTGATGTCGATATGAAAAGAATCGAGCGGGGGAAAACACACAATGTCTTCTGTGATGTGCAGCTGGTTGCGTGCAATGCTGAAGAAAGCCATGAAAAGAATCTGTTGTCAGCCTTTGCCATTGCTTGTTTGGAACCGCGAGGCAAACCCGGGGCACTTACTGCAGGGGATCCGTCCAGACCCAAAAAAGTGCTTTTCCCCACAACACACAGCACTCAGCACCCACAGATTAGAACATTCATGGCCATGATGGGGTGCGAAGAAATTGATGTCGCCGATTTGACGGTGCTGAAGCTATTGGAACAACAATGCAAGACTGCCTTGAAGGTATCCCCGTTCTCCAAGAAAGCCACTCCTCGTTTGTATGACCATGCAGCCGGAAACCAGTGTGGGAAGTGTGGGATCGTTGGCCCCAGCCTGTTGAAGTGTTCTTGTGGCAAAGCCTACTACTGCAGCAAGGAGTGCCAGAAAGATCAGTGGCGCAGCCATCGAGCAGATCACAAGAAAGCCATGAAGAAAAAGGCCAACAAGGAGTCCTCCAAGTAGGGATGTGTGGACTGAGATCTGCTTTGTTGTAGCAGGCCCAATCTGGAATCAAAGGGCTGCACTATGAGCTTGGCATTCCCACGCATGGATTCCAAATAAGGTTTGCGGGGAAATGATACCCAACAGTATGTCAAGAAATCTATCAATCCGTCTACCTAGCTATCTCAATTAACTTTCTTTGATGCAATGCCGACGTGAATGCATCAATCATGCAAGGCAAGCGCAACTCCGCCTTCTCTGTTCACATGAGAGAACACACCAAGAGGGAAAATAGTGCAAGGATACAGCCAAATGTTGATGGAACCGTGGCTTTCGACGCATCGGTATCAGCCTCGTTACCGTCTGTTCCTTTGCTTCCATTTCCAGAACTGCCAATATCCGATTCTGTTCTTGCGGGAACATTGATTGTATTCTGGATTCCTCCACTAGGACATGCAAGGTCACTTGTTGCGTAGGTAAACAAGCCAACCTCACCCTTCAGACAGGAGGGAGCAAATGGGGGGTTCACGGTCAAGTAATACCCATATTCACCATTGCTGTCTACTTTCCCATTGCACTCATCAACGGTTCCTCCAAATGCGGCACTTTGTTGTAGAGTCCCGGCAGAATCATAGAGACCATAGATTGGATGACCATCACGAGCAAAGCCAACAATGGGGCTTGGCGGGGCTTTTTCTGGAAATTGGGAAGCTAGCTCTCCAAAAGGTCTAGTTGCATTGCCTTCATCATTGATCCACCAACTTGAAGAGTCGGCAAAGGCAACTCCCATGGATTCTAGCAAGCAGATTGGTGGGATGTGGTAATGATACTGATGCTTCTTGTCCGAGTGGCCATTGCAGCTGTCGTAAGCCCAGGTCTGCTTGTGGCTATCCAGGAGAACCCCATTTGACAAGATTCCTACTACGTCGTCTTTGATCATTGTGGGTTCTCCAACAACTGGATTCTGGGGGATCACCATTTTGTAGTGTTGGAACAGTGGCTGGTAGAGTCCGTGGGATGTCATTCCTACACCGCATCCACCTACGAGGGACGCAAACATGAAAAGGCTTTCACGAGACAAGCATTGGTTCACATGCATTTCATTTTCAACTACTCACAACCACATCCTCCACAACCACAAGAACCACATCCTCCACTACCACATCCCCCACAACCACAACCGCAAGAACCACAACCACCGCAGGAATTGCAGCTGCACGCCCCAGAACAACCAGACTCAGAACCACAACCAGCACAGCAATCCGTCATGTTTTTGGAAGCACTGCATTGAGAACCACAACCTTGTCGAGAGCAGAAAGGTTGAGTTTTGGTGCAAGGCTGCACGTGTTGAGAAACACTAAAAGCTAGAGAACTTCTCGTACCTGAGCATGCGCTGCAGTAGTTGGTTGAATTGCAGGTGCCAGCACAACTGCCACAGGAGTCTTTGATGTTTGCAGAGATGAGAAGAAAGACACCAGAGTATGATATATTAATGTTCATCACAATCAGAAAGAAAAGAAATGAACAGAAATGAACACTGCTTACCTCCACCACAGCTGCCACAGGATGATTCATTCAAGAATCTACCATGAGAGAAAATGTTCTTCGATGCTGCCACCACAACTGTCTCGTCCACTGATTTGCCCAGAAGAGCCAGCAACAAGAGAGGGAATCCAGGAATGATATCAGGGTTCACTGCATGCATGGCTTACTCGCTTCTCAGCTGCTGACTGTATCTCACCTCCACAAGAGGACCCACAAGAGGACCCACAAGAGGACCCACAAGAGGACCCACAAGAGGACCCACAACAAGAGTACGCTGAAAAGAAGTTAGAAATAGGAGTTCCTCCAGGAAGAAGCTCAACCATAACCGAAGATTCTCACGTACGTTGGCAGATTCCGCAAGCTGAACATGGATTGCAAGAACAGGCTTCAGTAGATGATGCACAACTCGAACAGCCATGAACAGAGCCACAACCAGAGCCACAACCAGAAGAGCCACAACCACCTGAAGGAACGGACGCAACTTTTTGAGTCAATAGAAGGTTTCCACCTGACAACAAGGATGGAAGGTGCTGTTTTCGTACCACATGCTCCACAGGCTGCGGTGTTTGCTGCTGCACCACAAACTTGCAAAATCGGATCGCTTTGCGGGATGGTTCCGTTGCTTCCTTGCATATTGGGATGGTCGGGGCAACCATTGCTTTCAATGACAATGTTGTCGCCTGATATGGACACGACCACATCTGAGCGGTAGCAAAAGTTGTTTGCTGCAAGATTAGGGGAAGTGGAGTTGAGACAGACTTCCTGTGTGGTGGCAGCTCCACTCCAATGATTGACACCAGTTGCAGCACTAGTTCCGTTGGCGCCCGCGAGAAGAATTGGGTCCCAAGGGTCTACAATGCTGACATTGAGAGCTTGTAGAGTTCCGTCCGAAGCCTGCTGTGCTAGTTCATCGTCGTAGACAACAGTGACTGTGGGAAAAGCCCCTTTGGTACCTGCCTTGATGTAGGTAACAGCAGCTGTCTGAGAGACATCACCAGCCAAACCGAGCAGAATACTGTGGCGTCCGTTTACTTCAGTGGGCAACTCGGACATGAGGGAATATCCAGAGTCGACGCACACTTGCAATAGAAGGCACTGCAGGCATCCACGTTACGGTATGGCAGGGAGGAATATCACGCACAGTGAGGAAAGGAACACTGTATCCACAATGTCAATAACAATAACAATAGAGCAAACTAACTCACCGAACCAGTATGATCATACGGATTGTAAAACACATTGCTTCCATCGGGAGTACATCCTACACCTGGATCCGCATCCATGCAAAGCCCAACGCACTGGTTATCCACCAAATAGCCAGTGGCCGTCGCAGGAGCTGCAGATGCCACGAGATGTCCTGCAGAGGAAGCGACGATGGCCACAGTCGACAAGAGCAAGGACGTAAGAAATCTCATATTGACAACAAAACAAAGCAACTGGGAAGAGCGTTCGCTGCTCAAGACCTTCAGATTTTCTTGTTGGGAGCATCCTGTTTCTATTTACGTGATGTACCGTTGGCTGAACTCAAAGGAGCTCAGGCAATCTTTGTCCTGCCCTTCCCCCTTCCCTCGAGCTTTACAGTACCGGTACCGTACAACTATGATAGCTATTATTAATAATTCTAGTAGCTGGCTTGCTTGGTTGGTTCATCGCTTGGAAGTTTGAAGATGATGTGCGGAAAGCCATCGCAAAGAAAGGAGCTCAGGCAACTTCGAAGATAAACAAAAATGAGGGTCGGCAAAGAAGAAAAGTAAGTGTCTGGGGGGGTGTTCGGGAAATGACGTCAGAAGATGCTGAGTTAGTCACGAACGTGGCTGACCGAAAGAATTGCATACATGTAACAACGCGTGAGTTTCTCCATGCCCTCGCCGTTGTGGTTGCGCTATCGGGAGTGTTAGGTATTGTTATCATATATATCGAGTTCTACTATATTGTTGTTGACCATGGCCGAGGACAATAGTAGTAACGACCACAATAAAAGGGGACGGGACTCGCCCGTGAATTCCTTCCTATCGACCATGACGTTTGCGTCGAACAGTTCGGGGACTCGAGGAGGGTGCGACTGCGACGAATGCTATGGAGCGATGGGCTACACACCCCAATCCATTATCGACGCGATTCGTCGTCACAAGCGTCAACGACATGAAAGTGGACCCATAAAACGCACGCAATTGCGGGAGTTGGTGGCGCGAGAAGGACAACTATCCGTGTGGAAATTCACCATGCCCGTCGACGCGGCGCCCTTGATTGAGTATGGAGCGTCGCATCGACTCGTGTGGATTCGGTACTTGCCAAAGGTAAGCGATGTCTGGTTCTGATTGGAGTGTAAGCAATTTAAAGGAAGGTTCCTTACGAAATATTGTTCTTTCCTTGGACGGTATAGTCATCCGCGTTAAAGACGATTGGTAAGGGTATTGTGGGTTCCCAAGATGAAGAACGAGGGCGCAAAGAATTAAAATCATGGAAGGAAGGAGACGTCTATTTGGTACCAAGTAATGGAGGAAAAGCCGTGGCGTGGATACACGGGCGGCCAAACACAACAACCAACAACACGAAAGATGAAGAAAGCAAAACGAGCGACAATGAAGCAACGGAAGATCAAACACAAAACGACGATAACACCAACTCGGGTTCTGGGCATGCCATTGTTTACATTTGCAAAATTCCAAAGGATTGCCTGGGAAACAACAACACGACAAAGCAAGAAGACAATGAGGGAAACACCATGCCATGGGATGAGATTGTTCGTACTACTTGTAGATCCGAACTGCAAGCAATGGAAAATGGCAACCACGCAGAGGAAGCAAACGGAATGGCGTATAAAAAACTGCCACAAGAATCATCTCGGTTGCTGATAGATTCTTTATCCAAGCTTTGAAGAAGAGAAGAACAGCCAAAAATAAAACAATCTAGAACTGTCACTTCAGACAGTCTACACCGTGACAAAGACATGTAATAGGGATGCAACCTCCAGAGTCCTTGACCTGATGGTTCCCTCTACTTTAGTACAATGCATAAGAATTATCATAAGAATTGGAAGGGGCGGACAGTTTCTTTTGCCAGCATTTCTAGCTAGTATTACACTCATCTACTGGACCTGCCATCACAACCCCTGCCAGGTGGGGCGTCCGTTTTCTTCTGCCCGTGTTGCTACGTGAAGACGGCCGTTCCTTTGAGCCCAATGACGTGTGTGGATTCCATCTGCAGCCATTTTTGTCTTGCCCACTGAAGCAACCCAAGTTGTAAGTGTCCATTTACATTGTAGAACGCAGAGGTGGCCACCCTGAGCAGCCTTGGCACATGTCCAGATAGATGTTCCATTGACAACCATTTTCTCTACCGGTGGCCCATTTCAGGACATCCCAATCAGATGCCCATTGGCGGCTCGATCGCTCCCTTGTCATAGTTTGGTTTGCAAATACTAGTACCGGTACTAGCTACCTCTAGCTAGCTAGTAGCTAGCTAGCTAGTAATAAGGTTTTGGAGTTGAGTCCATTGAGTCAAAGATCCATTAAATCGCATTATTATTGTTATTGCCTGTGACCATTGCGCCGCCGCTACACGGTTGCAAAGATCTATGATTAAGGGGGTTTAGAGTTGGGAATTATCTACGGAAGCCAGCCGGGGCCAGGCTTAAGCAAAGAACAGTCGAAATTCGGGACTAGGTTCTGTGGGGTCAGGGGCAAGAAACTGAGGACCATTAGGGGGGGCAAAGGGTTTGGCTTTGCGGGATCCACGGAGAAATAAATGGGTAGCTTTCACAAGGGCAATTGAGATACGGGTCTGCAGGATTTGAGAGTAGGAAAATTGAGTTTTGGAGGCAGTAGCAGAAGCAAGGCGTTGTAAGAGAGTCTTGGCTTGGGGGGCAAGCATGCCATCCACAGAAACAACGAAGGGATGGAAGGAAGCGCGATTGGAGTCGCACACTTCTTTATATTTGGAAATTTTGTCGTGTTCTTGTTGGGTTAAAACTTTGACGGGATCTTTGTTTCGGTAAGAGGCACAGTCCAAATCAGTGACACATATGTTAATAATAGCAGTAGTACCACGTTCGAACAAGCCACGAATGGAAAGATCACCGCCCAAGAGCTCGGGGGCTAGAGGGGGGATGAGATGAGGGGGAGGAAAGGGGGGTAACGTGGAAATCAGGTGACCGGCAGGGATCATCCCTGATCACAAGAATCATATCGTCTCTCTGAGCCAAACAAACAACTTGCTTGGAGCTACCAAATAATACCAAAGGAATGACGAAACCCACCATGAGAGTCGTAGATGACAAAATCCTGTGGATTGGAGGCACTTCGAGCCTGACCCGGACCTTTATCAACTGTCAGTTGTTGAACCCCAAGAGCTTCGTGCTTGTTGGCCTCGAATCAAGAGCACCTGATTGGATACCCCCGTCTTCTCAATACATTAGCTTCAACTTGGCCTCTGCCACCCATGACCAAGCCAGAAATCTATTTCAGTCCATTGTTAATGACGTTTCCTGTATTGTTATTGGCGTACGTCCTCTCTTGTTCGCACCCTACACCAACACTGATCTGCCACAAAGAATGCTTCTAGGTGTTGAGAAGTTGCTACAGCAAGCATGCCACCAAGAAGCTTCCAAACTCAGGTTGGTCCTCCATGTGTCTTCTGTGGCAGCAATGGACCATCTGAGAACGCAGCATTTTGTCTCGGAAGCAGAGGATTATCCACCAATAATAGAGTACAAGGCTGCTTATGACAAATTCAAGAGACACTGTGAAGAATGCATCACAAGTATTGTACATAAGGCGAATGAAGGTAGAACTACAACAAATATCTCGGTTTGCAACATCCGACTCAGTGCCATTTTCTCGGATGAAAAATCCTGTATTCAATGCAGTGCCATGGATCTACAAGCTCGTGTAGGTTGCTATATGGATCTTGCTATTGATTGCAATTCGAGTGTCAACGTTTCCAGAGCCATGTATGCCGTGATGGAACGAGTCTCATCCAACAACCAAGAAGGAACCACCAAACAGATTCAGCCAGTTTACTACTACACCAGACCACTTTCTTTGGAACAGCCAGTTCCCTATGGCTACTATTTGCAAGAATTCCGCAGAGCGCATCAAATGGAGTACACTTCCATCTGGATTCCTGTGTGGGTGGTGGCATGGATCACGGCGCTGATTCATTGGTTTGCTAGTATCTGCAACCGATGGAAAGTACGGCTACCTTATGTGGATGCGATGGACTATCTGATGCAAGTGGCCTCACGAGAACATTCATTTGATTGTTCCATGTTTGGTGATGATTTCCCCAACTTTCAGGAACAAGAAGAAACCATATTGGAATGTTTCATTCGCCGTAAAGAGATATTGGCCAAAGAGAGCCAAAAGGGATACTATCAACAATCAACACCTCCAGCTTCTATCGGTAAGAAAGAAAGCTAGCTTTGAGCTGGTCATGCTGTGAGCTGGTCAATGTAAAAATCGACAGGCTTCTTCAGATTCCGCCCGGCAGGTTCCAAAGCCAGCGTCACCTCCTTGCTGGCATCATCAACGAAAATACCACTCGGTGCGCTACTACTTGTGAACCCTTGAACAATTTGGGTGGCTGTCTGAACGTTGTTATGGAGGACATTCTCTCTACAGCCCGGACCCTCAACATCAGTTTTTGTCTTCCGCTAGAGGCACAATACGAATTTAGCTCATTCACAAAGTCCTGTTCGATATAACCATTCAAAAGCAAAGTTCACTCTGCGGGATTTGGCTTGCATTGATCCGAGCTCAAGCGATTGGGCAAATCTCGAGCGCCACCCTTGGTATGGGTGGGACTTTGACTTGGTAAAACATATGTCCCGTGAAGAGCTCCTGAAGCAAATCGAAAGAAGCATCACAAACCTTATCGAAGTCTCGGTTCAAGACTTCAGTGGATACAGCCTTGGTCACGATGCGCGCAACAACTGGCCACGTAGCAACTCTGACCAGGCTTGGGACAACTGGGTGATGTCGAGTCGGGAAAAAGGGAAAGAGGCGGACGAAGAAAAAGAAGAAGAGGAGGTGGAGGAATACGTAACAAGCTGTTTTAGGGAGTGGAAGGCGTTTGTCCAGGACGAACTCTACCAGCTCGACCCATCTTGCAAAAGACCGTTCCTATGGGCCAAACAAAAGCCCTTCTTCTTTCGAGCCGTGAACGGGAACATCGCAAACATGACGTTGACCTGTGTCACTTCTTCCGCCCTTGATCTGATTCAAATGATCATTGCAGATTTTGCGTTTGGCGCTGCAGTCAAGCCTTTTTTGTGAAGCGCCAAGGCCGTGTTACTGTCGGTTGCCACCTGATCATTGGGAAGCACAACGGCATAACCATTGCCTCGTTCCCAACTGCGCAATGGGGAGAAGATGCAATCGAGCGCCCCCAAGCTGGATTTGCAGCAGGGAGCACTCACAATACACGCTCTACAGCGAAGGAGACTGATAGTGACGACTCTTCATGGTGTCCTTCCGACGATGATGGGGAAGCCACTTCTGGCGATTAATGGGAACGTCGCTGGCGCCGTGATTACGTCAATGATAGGTGGTATAATTAAGGTAAACTTACTTGTTCTGCTACCCAACTTTGTTCTGGGAAGCTACCTAACTCTGTTGTGGGAAGCTACCCTGCAGTAGCTGCTCGTTGCTTTCCCCTATGGCATTCGTACTTGTAGCAATGGCGCAGGGCCAGAACTAAATGTGCCTCTCGTTGCACGCATCCAACACCAGCCTATCCAACAAGACTTCCCAATACAAGTCAATCGCCAAGTTGACGACCTTTCCAGCCAACTTTGCCACCATGGCCAGCTCCGAGGCACTGAATGCTAGACCTCGTTGGCAAAACAGCTTCTCGACGACTGTCGGGGCTTGTTGTGTATCGCCGCTAATGATTGCAATAGAACCTTCTTGCCGGCCCGTTCGCATTTCCGATACATGTCCCTTGGTTGTATCCTTCTCCTCCTCCAACAATAGCAACGCCTCTCGCACGGCCTGTTTTGTTCTGCCATCCAAGAGTTTCAGGACGGGATCTTGCCCACGCAACACGGCAACGACTCTTCCCGCTAGCTGTTGCTTGGCCTCCTCGTCCTGGAGAATAGTCTTGCTGTTTTCGTCGACACTCCAGTCCTGCGCCAGCGCCACAACTTGTTCTACCACATTTCGTTCGTACAGGTCGGGTGGTATTCCTCGGTTTTGTAGGGCTCGCCAGAGGGATTGTTGGCCTTTTTTGCCTTTGGGGTTGGCTACTCCCGCCGCACTGCATGCCTGCAATGCCAAGGCGCATCCGGCCACGGCCAGTCGCGTCATCTCTCGCAATGTCTGCAATCCATTGTGATCGCGGGCGAAAATTTCGGGAAGATTCAGAGGCGTTTGATCGCGAAAGAGAATGTCGTCGATCCATCCTGCTCGGACCAATGCTTTGCGATCGTCTACCGATTCGGTCAAGGAGGATTGTCGTCGTACTGCAGTACCGGTACTAGCAACTTCCTGTGCCTGTGGATTGGCGGCCAAGTGTGCTTGAACCAGTGATTGAATCCATTGTCGAGTGGCGGGAGACGAATCGGCGTCCTCAAATTTTCCAAACTGTTGCTGGTACAGCGTCCGTTCGATATCCGGGCCTTCCTTGTGAATTTGAGGAGCCCACACGTGGACCAAGTAAAAGTCTTGTTTTTCGGCTTGACATAGTTCTGCCTTGTAGAGGAGATAGAAAACGACTGCGACCCAAAATAAGGTGTCTTTGTTGTCCGTCGATTTGTGGCTATTGAGAAGTTCCAGTGTGGTGGTAGCTCGGCTTTCCGATTCCAATTGTGCTAAAGAACTGGCAGCCTTGCTGATCAGTGGCAGAATTTCTTGTAGAGTTGTGACAGTCTTGACATGTTCATCATCGAGGATAGAATGAAGGTCCTTGCGATTGGGTATCAACGCCCTACACTGCCCATGGAGTTCGAGCAGCAAACCAGTCAGTGGTTTCAGATTTTCGGGATCTTTCCGAAGTGACTGGATAATATGATCGTGCACAGCTCTCTTTACCACCATGTCCGCAGGCAGGGCTTCTATCTTGTCGTCAACGAGGCATTTTCGGAACTCGGCAAAAGAAAGGGTGAATTTGGTGGAAGACGCGAGGGATGGGAAGTCCGCGGGATCAGTGAGCAGCACTCGATGGATCAAAGCAGGGTCTAGGCGACTCATCCACAAGTCAGTCTCCTGCAGGCTCGTGTTGTTATCTGGGGTGATGTTTGTGCTCATGGTAACCAAGATGAAGTAATCATTCGACTGAAAGACTGACAGCAGTACGGGAGACCGCTTCGTGCGAAATTCTTTGGTTTTGTTGTGAAGGGAGACTTCGGGAGAGCATGCGGCTCGACTGACACTCGTCGTCACTTCGCAGAGAAAGTTCGTTGGGCTTCTTTGTGGTTCTTAACATTCTGACGTCATTGTGGCACGAATGTTCGCTGTCTTCTTTCAAGGACGCGCGGGAACACAAGAAAACAGGGAACACGTACCGTATGCAAAGAAACAATTTTTGAATAGAATCAATTTGGCTGACCACTTGTTTACTGTGCTGCTACCGGGTGCCCTAAACTATGATAACATGGGGGCAGAGAGATTTGACCCCACCAGCCAGGGAAATATTAATAAAAGTCAACATATGAAGTTAAGGGACATGGGTCGCCTCGTGATTGACCCATCCTCGTTGCTGCATCATCAGCACTGCTACTAGCTCTGCTACAACCATTGTCTATTTTAACAGTGCCCGAATCCAAAACAATGTCAGACTCAAATGCAATTCCTATAATCTAAAGTGTGGCTTCAGAAAACAGCTGCAAGTTATCTGTTTTTTAATAATGATTCAGTAATTATTGGCAATAAAACTAATTAAACTAGTAAAAGTAACAAAATAAATATATAAAATAAATAGATTATAACAATACAACTAATTTATGTAAATTAAAATATTTTTCTGTTATATACACAAGTTTTTCTACAAACTAATATTATTCAGAAATATTAAAATACATCTAAAATAAAAAGGATAAATAATTTAATTTTGCTCAATTTTAAATATTCTTAATTGAGAAACCAAAAAACAATTTAATGATCTATTAAAATCATTCATGTCGCCAGTGGGTATACCCAAAGGGGACCCCAATACCCACTGGCTAAGTTGTCTAATTAAATTAATGAAATACATCATTGTGAGTATTCTTTTAAATGTCATGCAAAAACGTCGTGTAAAAAAGTCGCGTAAAGATGTCGCGTAAGGATGTCGCGTAAGGATGTCGCGTAAAAATGTCGTGGAAAAAGTGTCGTGCAAAAATGTCGTGCAAAATGTCGTGCAAAAAATGTCGTGCAAAAATGTCGTGCAAAATATACGTGCAAATGTCGTGTAAAAATGTCATGTAAAAATGTCATGTAAAAAGGTGATGCAAAAATGTCGTGCAAAATGTCGTGCAAAATGTCGTCCAAAAAGTTCGTGAAAATGTCGTAAAATGTCTGCAAAATGTCGTGCAAAATGTGTGTCAAAATGTCGTGCAAAAATTCGTGCAAAATTTCGTGCAAAATTTCGTGCAAATTTCGCGTAATTTGCTAATTAGCCACACAGCGTAACTTTATCGCGAATATAATTTTGATATCATATGGAATTGCAAAGTTATCTAAATTTCGCGTAATATAGTTGTATTCGTATGTCATGCAGCTCATTATCGCATAATACAGGCAGCCACATTCTTATGTATGAGAGCTAGTTCTCGCGTGTTTGAGCTAATTCTCGCGGTTTGAGTAGATTTCGCGTGTTTGAGTTAGATTCTTGCATGTTACAGCTCGACTCTTATGTTTTTGAAATACATACTCGCATATTTCAACTTTGTTGTTAAGCAAAACTTCTATGTTAGTAAGATCTCTTTTTGGCACACGCGTAAGAGAAATATATTCTCGTCGCGTATTTTTGCTTTATTGTCTTGTGAAATACATTGGTTGTCGTATCACACTTGTGCAAGAGCAAGAGCTATATTCTTGCATATTTTAGATTGCTCGTATTATGTAATGCAAACTGACTTCAATGTCGCGTGATAGAATTACATTTTTCGTTTAGAGCTAGACTTTTGTGTGTTAGAGCTGAATTTTTGCTTGTTTTTCGCGCATTAGAGCTATATCTTACATTTTCTGTGTTACAGCTACATTCTTCTTGCATGTTAGATTATATTCTTGGCATTTTAGATTGTCTTTATGCAATTTTCAGTTCTCTTTCTAAATGTCACACACACGCGTTGCAAGCTACTTTCTCATATGTGTGTATTAGATGCATGAAAAAATACTTTTTCTCGCGTTTTAGTTGTGTCTATATATGACAGAGCTATATTTTGTTTTTAGAGTAGCTTCCTTTGTGTAGTATTAGAGTGCCGCTTCGCATGTCAGTTTTGACTAGTACATTCTGATGAGTATTTTAGCTTTGTTGTTGTATTCTAGTGAGTCTCTTTAGAACTATTCTCGTGTGTTTTAGTAGCTTTATTATCATGTGAAATACATTATCTTTGTTATGGTGTTACTGCATTACACGAGTGAGAGAGCTAGACTTTCGCGCGTTTTAGCTTTGAAGTACTATATTATCGTGCAATTTGGCTTTGGTGTCAAGGAGTGTAATAGAACTACATTTTTGCATGCTGTCAGAGTTTCTGAATCAATCTGGTACGTTAAAGAGTCTACTACATTTTGGCGTTTGTGTGTTAGGACTACATTATCACGTGTTTTAGATTTGTTGTTGTAGCATATTAGAACTGTGTAAGATTTCTGTGCTGGTGAGACGCGTCACAGAACTATTCCAATGTATGTTAGCTTTTTGTTGTCATTGAAATCATTTATGTCGTATCATAGTGGAATTTGTCTGTATTATGCCATGCAATTTAGCTGCCAAGCTATATTTTTGAGTGATAGAAGTATACATCATTGCGTTAGAGTCACATTTTTCGCGCAATAGAGCTACATTTTCGCGATTAGAACTATATTTTGTGGGTCAGAGCTGTGATCTGATGTGTTAGAGCTATGTTCTTACGTGTTAGAATTATCTATAAATTTTGTAATAGAGTCGCGTAATGTTGTCGTGCAATGTAGCTATATAAATATGTTTGGTAAAAACGTCAAAAACATCATATTTTTACATTAAAATGAATTCATTTTTGTATTTTTATTTTAGAAAAAATTATTTAAAGTCCCAGTAAACAGTAAAATAACGACTGCCAACAGTCAACAAAACAACGTTTTGCAATTGACATTTGCAATACACAGTTCACCCCCAGCTTGAGCAGCTACAGATAGCTGGAGTAGGTATACATCTGCTTAACTCTCAATCGTTTGGCACCAAGCCTTGCAGCTGCGACGTTCTAGCAGCACCTTTATTCCACTCTTTTTGAGGCCTTCCAAACAGCAGTTAGATGCCCCATACAATTTTCTACAGTACAGAAAGCACCTTATTGTTTTACGCGCACTACTCTACAACCAAGGCAGCTACTGATTCCCGCTCATATAGATGTTGAGGAGGCTACAAGCTTGATCCATCCTGCACTGGTTGTAGCAAATACCATATGAGCTCTCACCTCATTGCCTTTCGTTATTTGCTAGTCTACTTTTTTAGCTCCTGGTGAGTCGAATTTGTTATTTACATTGTTTTGCTTTTGGACTCTCACTGGGCCCCATATCCCAGCTCGAATGGCTTCTGGCCGGCCGGGGACGCTCGCGCCGCCGATATACCGAGTGCATGGTGCAGGCGGCTCCAGTTCGAAAGTTGCCTTTTTTCACATCTCGGGATGTGCGGATAAATAGATGGGGGATCAGCAGCATACAAAAATAGCAGAGCCAACTCGTCCAAGTATGGTGTTCTCTATTTGGAATCGAACAGGAAACTTGCTATCGGGGACGTTCATGGGGCCAAGAAAATTCTACGAGAAGCAATCAAAGTGGACACGAGACAACCCGACGCTTACACGAGTCTTGAATTGTGTTTTGAACGATCAGGACAAAAAGATGAGGCTGTTTTTTACTACCATGAAGCTTGCAAACGAGCTGCAATGAATGCCTTTGCAGATCCGCCTGAAGGCCTGACAGATCAGATGTTTTTTTTGAACGTAATGTGTGTTCAAGTACTCTCGGACGTATTGATTACCTGGGATGACAGTGAGATGATAAAGAAGCCACACTGGTGGAAGCGCAATGGGATGCTCAAGAGAATCACAGAAGTGGCAGTTAATGAGTTCAATCCTTTTGTGCCAAGCGGCATGAATGCTGAAGAAATATATCCTTCAATTGAACGGACCCGTGCATACCTGCTCTGTGGCATCCTGGATCGAGGAAGCCTTCAAAGCACTCTTGAAGCCATCGCCAACTGCAACCGTACGCGTGAAGAGATGAAGGAAGCAGCCATACGCTTTAGGATTCGTGCCATCAATCTGGGGGCTCAGGAGTTTGGCAACTACGTGCAACAGACTGGAATCATGATGTCTTTTCTGGGAATGTATGCTCTGAGTAACCCTGAATTCGGCGGCTTCCGTCCTGATTTCTTGATGGATGTTGCGAAGCTGCTTCATTCCGAGGAAAGATCCACGGTTGGTCACGCCGCTGAGGAAACTCCTTGCTTTGAAGCTGGACAGTGGTTTACGTAGGATCAAAAACCTGGTCAGCGAATCCGAGTCTGTCATGAACAACAAAATTGGTGTGGTTTGGCAAGATGGGCGATTGGAAGATGGTCAAGTTGTTGTGAAAGTGGATGGTTTGAGCGGGTGCCATTTGATTCACCCAGACAATTTGAAACCAATTGCAGTTCCTGAGCATGTATCTGCCCTCATTTCCTGCCTCGATGTGGCAGACCAGTTTAGGTATGTGAGGTTGTTTGTTCCCACTCTTGGTATTTGCAGGTGCTTTGGTCGCTCGGATAATTATGCACGCCTCTTGCTTGTTGCGGGTGCCAAGTTCTGGAAAGAAGGATTACCAGAAGGATTGTTTCGTCAATTTCAAACTTTGACAATTACTAATAGCTAGCTAGCTACCGGTAGTGGTACATGTAATTATTTTGAATTACATAACCATTTTGAAATTTTTTAATTAAAGAAATCGCGAACATTTCCCCCATTTTCTTCTTTTCCCTTCAATCCGAAGCCACCAACGCCAACAACCCCACAACCTCCACTGCACCATCGTCGCGACAACAAATAAAAGACAACCATCGAAGACAGATGAAGATCCTGAAGAAGACCATTAGTGCCAAAGATGGCCAAGGGACCGTCCTGCTGCGTCCTGAAACGGACGAGGATCTGTGGCACGCCTACAATTTGCTGCAAGAAGGGGATTTGGTTCGCTGCACAACGGTTCGCAAGGTAGTCAAGGAGAGTTCCACGGGATCCACAACATCGAGCAAGAAGCGTCTCATGCTGACCATCAAGGTGGAGCGCATTGAGTTTGACAGTGATGTGTTGGAAGTTCGACTCTCGGGAACCAATGTGGGAGAGAATGAACTAGTGCGACTGGGAGCCTATCACACGTTGACGCTGGAGAAACATCAAAATTTCAGCATTGACAAGGATTGTTGGGATCCCATTTTCTTGGGGATCCTAGACGAAGCGGCCAATCCAGATCAGCAAGCGGAAGTGGCGGCTGTTGTCATGTAAGTATCAGATATTGAATGGCCTAGTTATGATTGATTCTGTGGACTCCCCAAGAGCCACGGGTATCCATTATCTTATCATTGTGCTTTCAATTTTTCCATTGCAGGCAACCTGGACTAGCTCATGTCTGTCTCATTACAGGCAATCTAACAGTCACCAAGGGCCGAATAGAAACCAATATACCCAAAAAGCGGACCGGATCTAGTCAACAATCCAAAGCCATTCAACGATTCTTCAATGCCGTCTACCAATCTATATTACGGAATGTCGACTTTACCAGAATCAAAGTCATCCTGCTGGCATCACCGGGATTTGTCAAGGACGACTTTTGGAACTTTTTATTAACCACATCGGTGCGACAAGAAGATCGACCCTTGATTGAAAACAAACACAAATTTGTACTGTGCAAAGCCAGTTCGGGACACAAACACGCACTCGAGGATGTCCTGAGTGATCCTGCCATTATGAAACAACTTACCGAAACCAAAGTCGCCAAGGAAGTCGAAATACTCAACACTTTTATGCGGACGCTCAATGATGATCCCGATCGAGCCTATTATGGATTTCACCATGTCACGCAAGCACAACAATCCTTGGCCATTGAATCGCTGCTGGTCACGGATGAGCTATTTCGAAATTCCAATGTCAAGAAACGAAAACAATACGTGCAGCTGGCAGAAAATGTCAAGGAAGCAGGAGGACACGTGTACATCTTTAGCAGCATGCATGTCTCGGGACAACAATTGGCACAAGTATCTGGAGTCGCGGCCATTTTGCGATTTCCATTGCCGGATTTGGACGAACTGGAAGAATTGGCGGCGGCAGGACCAGAAGACGATGACAAAGATGATGACGAAGAAGAAGAATATGACCCTGAAAAGCGTATTCGAGAGGATGTGGCTGATATGGGCTTGTAGAAACAGAACACGACAACACACTCTTTTTTTGTCGGGAAAGTATTGTTGCTACCACCGGTGGCCAGCTAGCTAGGATCAATGGCAACAGCCTTTGGTTCGTGAATCTCTGGACGATATGAAAACCATTCTTCTCAGCAACTCCCCCCGAAGAGTTTGAGGACGCACGCCAAACTTGAACAAATCGTAAATTGTGTTGGACGCACTTACCGAAGTGCCTTGGATAGCTCGTCCTCTCGCATTCTGAGAAAGTCTGCTTGTTCGATCTGGTTGCTCGCCAATTTTAAAATCGAACTGGGCCCAGCCTTTACTGTAGACTAGGCCTACGTCTGCACTCCACGACGTTTTTGAATCCACCATCAAAGCAGTATCTACGCTGGCTATCTATACCCAATCGAGACGAACCGTTACCAGTAATAGTCTCAATGGCATGGATGCTACACAATCTTGGATAGTTTCGATGGTAGAAACGAAGACAAAACCCTTTCTTGGTGATCGTTCTCTCAAGGCTAAAATGCTTCATACAGATTTTGGTATGATTTTCTACATCGTAAATTTTTAGTTTGACGGGGTTTAGAGTACCGGTAGGTACATGTACTGTAGATTGAATTCAACAAAGCTAAACTTCCAAAGCCGTTCCCTTCTCCATTTCCTCCTCCACCACAACACTCCACAGCCCATCAACAATGACAGCGTCTCCCTCGGGCTGGCAGTCTCCTGGAACGCAGGAAATGAACAACATCCCAAGGTTGCATTGATCCTTAAGAAAATCCACATTGAACTTCCGTCCCTTGGTTTCATCGCAAGTTTCAGTCCCTTGAAATCCCGTCTCATGGTATCCATTGTCATCACAATAGACATCCTTGACAGAAATTCCGGGGAAACTTTTATCATTGATGCAAGGAGATCCAGGTCCGCTCCAGCAGGGAATCTGAACCATTTTGCTCCCTTGTTCGTTCTTGCAATTGATTGGATCTTTTACAAAGAGCTCCAATGTGGCGCATTTGCTGGGCTTATCGTCGCGGCTGCCACGGATCATGACATTCGCGCTGGCGGTTTCTGCCATCGCAAGAAAAGAAAAAAGTAGAGCGATAAGGACGCGCATCATGATTGTTTTGTTGGTATTCTGTTGGTTTGGGTGTGAGAGTTTGGTTGTGTTGTGTGTTTGGGTTGAGTTGTGGAAGGATGTTGCAATGGTGGGGGTGTTGGATGTTGGATTTTCACTGGGTCTTTGAGCATCCACGTTTCAAACTTTAGTCACGAGTTTTCAGTCCTGAGCTTTTGAATTTTTTGTCCCGAATTTGCACACGCTTCGTTCCTTTCTCCCGAGGACGTGTCCGACACCCTCTACCGGTACCAGGTACGATGTACCCTGTACCGTACCGGTAGTGCCGACGTCTTGTAGTTCCTGTCTTCTGTGTTGTCTTGTCGAACGAAGAAGACAATGAACTACGAGGATCCCCTTTTCCAGCCTCAGGGTGAGCATGTTGGTGATCTGGCTCGACAGGACAATCGCCGTAGAGGACTCGACTCGACTCCGAGGTATTCAACCCCACTATCGTACCTCACCACTTTACTTCCAGGACGCTACGGCTCCTGCCGGTACCAGGGCAAGCATAGGCAAAGAAAAATGGCAACTGCAACTGATGATCGATTTCGAGCTCTCGTGAGATGAAGATCACTCGTCGCCCTGAACCGCTACGAACCAGGTGCCTGCTTCCCTCTCTTGTTCCGAATTCACTCTGGGACACGAAAATCCACGTCTGGGGCAACGCCTCTGTAAAGATCTTTCTCAAGCTTCGCAGCAAGCTGTTGAAGATATTTTGGTTGCAGAAGTTTCGACGATGCGCCCGGATACAGCATATAATGCAATACCAGGATCCAGTGGAAGGAGAGCTGGTGCAACCAGAAGGAAAAGTATCGGACGATTCCCACATGCTGAAAACCACGGCAATGGAGAATGCAAATGCTCTGGAGTTGTCTTGGCGCCATGAACCGACTTCCAGCTACAGTGACTGGCAAATCCAGATCTCTACAAAGCACAAAACCAGAGACATCTACAACATTCACAGGTGCGTTTTGGTTAGTGGCAGGCGCAAGAGTGGATACTTTGCCTCTCTGTTCTCTAGCAACTTCAAGGAATCAGAGTCTGCCACGAGCTTGATTGAACTGGAGCCAAATCAGGCAGATGCATTCCCATTGCTATTGGATTACTTGTATGGAAATCCCTCATTGAAGCAGTCATACTTTCAAGACATGGAACCAAAGATGGCCATTAATTTGTATTCTCTAGCTGATTACTTTGAGATCGCTTCCTTGAAGTCGGACATCAAAGAGGAAGTTGAGCAAAGCATGTCTGTCAACAATGTCCATGCTTACTATATGTGGTCGAAGGACTTCTATAATGCCCCCTTTAAGACAGTGGCATTGGAGTACATTGCCAAGAACCTCCAAAGTATTAGCACAGAGTCTCCTATTCTTGCCAGCAATGTTGCTCTCTGGCTTATGTTGTACATCACATTGAATGTACTTCATTTTACCAGAGCGTGAACCTCAGCAAGCTTGTTGCCAAGCTCTGTCAGAATGTAGAGGGAATGGATCTCGCTACCTTTCGTACACTGACAAATGAGTCCAAAATGCCAGTGATTCATAGCTCTGTGGCTTTAGCCCTATGCGGCTATGAGAACAGCTTGTCAAAGGAGAGCACGAGCAACCACCAGCCCATTTCCTCACTCCAGAAGCGATGCGCTCACGCCATTGGAAGGAATCCACCGGGAGGGATAGCTGAGAGAGAGTCTGAAAAAGTATCCACAAGATTTCTTGTGGGAAGTACTGGAAATTCCATGAAGCGTAACTGCCCGTGCGAAGAGATCTGCTTTGTCCAAACTGATCAAGCTACAGAACCCGAGAGCCAGGAGCCGCAATCCCGCTACTACGGACGATTTGATGGGTTCGAGGATGACACTATTGAAACAATGCTAGACTCATGATCATAAGCCTACTACTAGTAGACAGCTTGCAAGGCATGTACCAGTACCGTTTGTGCAATGCCTCCAGGAAAGCTTCTCCTTCTTTGCTCCAGTTCGACTTTTCTACGCTGGCACGGACCACTTGTAGCTAGTTCTCACATGCCACGTATCGACTAATTGGTTCCATAGCCTAGTTTCTATCTGCAGGACTATTATTAATTGATACATTGTAATAGGAAGCTCATGCAGATACGCAAGATTGGATGCATGTATGCCGTACCGGTAAATGATTGAGAGGGATATTTTACCCTCTCCAAAGTTGGGGATCCTGTCACCCCCACAGCCAAGACTTTGGATCTTATTTTTTCAGTGGTTTCCAAATTAATTGTACTACTAGCTAGCTAGCTATCTTGCTCTACTCTAGCTATTGTACTGTACTACATGTACAGTGCTGTAGATCGATTGGAAATTGGAGATCGAATCGAATCGAATCGCCATCCACGATTTTGGGCAATGCTTTTGTGGTGCGGTGAATGTCTGCGTGCTCTCTTGGTTTTTTTAATTTGGCGCGAAAGCCCAAGATTTTCCTTGGAGGCACATCCCGAACGACATCCCACATCCCGACAACAACAACAAGGGAGCCATGGCCACCATCAAAGCAGAAAATGAGACTGAGCTCTCTGCGCCCTTTGAAGAACAAGTTTGCAACGTTCAGCCCTCTGATCATGCAACCGCACCTGCTGAAATAATTGAGATTCTGTATTCACCAAAAGGCAATCAGGTGTCCAAACAAGCGAAGAGGCAAGGACTTTCAAGGGAAGTGACCAGACAATCAAAACGTTCCAAGCAAAGCGACACTACGGAAGAAGACATACCATACAGTTTCAGCCAGACGAATTATATATTGGCTTCATACATTTTTACGGCCATCTGGATGGAAAATCGGCAAGGGTATCCTCCATGATTTTTGCTTTACACCCCCTCTACTGGCTAAATTCCCGCTCACCGACATCAAGAAGCACGGACAAGAGGGAACACATTGGGCAGATGGCTATGAAAGCCTTCACAACATGGTGACCACCAATGGGCGGCCTATTCAAGGTACAGGAAAGTATCTTGACTTGGATAAGGACATTTTTGACACCACGGAACTCGAAGAGCTGGAGGAAAAACTGGAAGAGTTGCCCTACTATAATGGAAAAGCTGTGATGCACGATTTTCACAGAATTGTCAAGAAGCTCAATATTTTTAAGGTGCACAATAAGGTTGACTACAAGCTACCAACCACTGATCCACGAGAAAGCGATCAGTACTTCTCTGAGCAGGATCTGCTTTCCTATTTCGTCAAGAATGGCATCCCCAGAGCTGAAAGTTTGGAAGAAGGCGACCTGGCCAAGCTTGAAGAGGCGGTGAAATTTGCCAATGTGGATCGTCTCCACTTGCCTTTTGCCAGATCACAATCATGGGGAATTTCCAACAAGATTTTGACAAAGGAGGAAGTACAGCCTGTACTCGCTCGGTTGGGCTTTGAAAGGGACCCCCGTGCGAAAAATCGATTTTTCCAGCCAGGAGGCATGAAGAAGGGATTGAAGTCGATGACTCTGGGAGAGCTTCGTGTGTTTGTTCGAGAGAATGGCATCTGGAGTGCTGACGGCGGACGCTCCCGAGTGCAGCACACTGAAAAGAGAGGTTTGCGTTACAACTCTGGGGGGGCAACGTCAGAGACGAAGCTGCCAAAGTATACAAAGAAATTCTAGTGTTGTCACGAGTGTTCAACCTCCCACTCGAGCATCCATTGAAGCTGATGAGGCCCCCCTTGCAGACGAGGAAGATCGGTCCCCATCAGTTAGTGTCCCTCCTGTTCAAACGGGCGAGGAGAGACGGCCTCCAGCTGCGACACCAGTTGTGAATCGAGCGGTGGCTGCCGCAGTCTACGAACAACAACCAAGAGAGCCACCAGCTGTGTCCCCAGCAAACCAACCGGCTTCAGGAGTTACTACTTCAGAAGAAGAACATACTGATTCTGACAATCAAATGATTCCTTTCGAAGATGCACCTCCCCAAGGGCCAAATGTAGCAGTCCAGACCGTGACGAGTGCACCTATTTTGGAGTTTGACAAGACACAGGCCATATTTGATGACTACTAGGGCCTGTCACAAAAGTCCCGTTCCATGGTAAAGGAAGCCCTCTCCAGCTGGAAGACATTGCCATTTGAGGAAGTGGATGCTTCCTTGCTGAACTCCACTCCTTCTTCGCAGGCAGCAAAGATGAGGAAGCTCCGCAGAATCTTTTTGTCACTGAAAAAGGATAGCCGTTAAGAGCTTGCTTTGGACATTGCCGAGGGATGGGACCAGGATGTCGTCATGTTGGAGTAGGGAAGAACGCGAGCTGCTTGATTTCTTTAGGATGGAGTGTGAGGTTTGATGCCTGCCGCAGAACTTTGGCTGGCAGGTGTCAATCTCGATGTTTGTATGAATGGAGAATTTGAAACTAGTTAGACTAGAAATTATTTCTTTTTCGCCATGCACGGTCTTTCCTCTGTCAAGGCATAGAGCAACTGGTACCGGTACGGTGCATAGCTAGCCCAGCCAAAGGCGTAGGGGCAGTCGAACCTTCGCGTCGGAGATATATCGCGACCTTCTCTTTCCTGTAAAAATCAAGCAGCTTGAGCTGTTTTATTCCAAAGATACGATCTTTCCCAATCCCTCTTGCCGTCCCAGCAGCACCCTTCTCAGTTCTGTGCCAGTTGCCTTGATTGAATCATTCTATTCCCTCTATTCCCTCTGTTTCGGCTTACTTGACCATGCCTTTCAAGAAGAAGATAACCAAACTGCAAGATGGTACGTGGTTTGCTTCCAATGGCATGCGAGATGAAGATGACCTACCGCCACCGATGCGGAGCACCGAGTATGATTCCAACAAGGAACCACCTTCCCGCGTGGATTTGAGGCCGTACTGTACGCCCGTGGAAGATCAGTCGCAGAGTAACTCCTGTTGTGCCAACGCTGCGGCCGGTGCCTACGAGTACCTTTGCAAGCGAGTGGCCATGGAAACTGGCGATCATGTGGGAGATATCAGCCGTTTGTTTATTTACTTTGTGGGTCGCAAGAATGACCAGGTTCGTCGTGGACAAGGATTAGTAAAGGTGAAGGACGAAGGTATCACGTTGAGTGGCGCGGCCAATGCACTCGAAGCTCAGGGTGCCTGTTTGGAATCGACGTGGGGATTTGATTTGAGCAAGGTGAACGATCGTCCTCCAGCCGATGCCTTTGACGAAGCATCCAACTACAAAATCACAGAAGTCAAGCTCATTCCCACCGACTTGACATCCATGAAACAGTGTCTCGCCGAAGGATACCCCATTGTCTTTGGATGCAAATTAACCAAAGCATTCTTCACGGCGCCTCAGGGAATTATCAAAACTCCCAATCCGGATGACCCGCAGAGTGCCGAACACGGCCGTCATGCCATGCTCATTGTGGGCTACAGCGACAATAATCAGACCTTTATTGTTCGAAACTCCTGGGGTGAAACCTGGGGCGACCAAGGATACTGTTACATGCCCTATGACTATGCTGGTAACCCCGAATTCAATATGGGAGGCATGTGGTCTGCGAGGGGACTGACGGATTACGACTTTACCCCCGAAGATGGGGACGACGACGAGGATTTGTTCGATCCATCCATTGAAGTTCCCGATGATGACGATGGTGTTGAGTCGGACGAAGAGGATTTGGGCGACGATGAAGAAGACCCAGATGGCGCCGAAGATGCAGGAATGTTTGACCCCAACTTTATCTTCCAAAAGGTATGCATACGGGGCTTGAAGAACGACCAATCAACCAACCAACCAACAACTTAACTGAAAGGCTGTCTCTCATGTACAACCTTCCTGTGCTTTCTCCTTTGCAGATGTTTGCAAAATTTGACACAGATGGCAGTGGAACAGGTACGTATAGAGTCGTTATTGCTTGGTTGGTATTTGAGCGCATTTCACACAGATAACGGTACACGTACCACACTCATGCTGATACATTCATTCTTTCTCTTGTACGCTACGACTGGAAATCCTTTATTTTAAACTTGTCAATTTTTCTTTTCTTTGTACAGTATCCAAGGACGAATGCAAGGCCCTCTTGGGACAATTGGGTGTCCCCTGGTTCTTGGCCTCGGCAGCCTTTATGGCCATGGACACAGACGGGTCGGGTACGCTGAGCGAGGAAGAATTTGCAAAAGCTTTTGGTCACCTCATGGGACTCAACAAAAATTAGGAGATGGGAAGTTGTGGGACTTGGAGCCAACGACACACCCTGTCAATTGTGAATTGCAGTTGCTGTAAAGTGCCTCTTGTCGACTGAAGGGTTGAGGCGATTGTGTGTATGCATAGTCGTAGTGAAGGAGTTTCCAGGTCCAAAACGAGGAGACCCATTAAACATTAAGCTGTGTAACAAAGAACGAACCAATGAAGTCAATCTTGCCCTCTTTGGAGCTTGGGTTGTTGTATGTTACCCCGGCTACCAGCTAGCTACCGGTAGCCAGCTAGACAGCCAACTTCGTTGCTCTGGACGGCTCTTCTGGAATCTTCCCCACTGCAAAGTTGGCTCAGGTGATCGAACGACTTCAGGTGATCGTGTTCTGAACACCTCTAAGTAAACTCCAACGCACTAAGTACCGAAAGCGCGCGCGCGTCCATTCGGCATCGCCCCCATTTTCAGCAAGCCCACAATTCAAGCTCACAATTCAAGAAAGACGAAAACCTTGCACCTCTCACCATGTGCCCCGACCCCAACTGTCCAGTCTGCCGACAAGTCACCATGGTGGCCGACACTACGAACGTCGCTTGTTGCGTCTCGGGATGTGATTTCACCGATGGAAGCATCGTCGCCCTCTTCCCTTGCAAACACATGTGCTGTTCCGGGTGTGTCAATGACCTCTTCCGATACTTCGAAAGGAAGCCGAACTCCGATTGGGTTTGCCCCGTTTGCCGTGCCAACGTTGAGCCAATGGAAGCCGTCGTCGCACAGAATTTCAAGGTGCCAACCGGAGACGCGAATGACCCCGTTGTAGTCTAGACCCCCCCCTCCCCCTAAATTAACCGTCAACTGTTACCCAGTTACTAGACTTCCTCTACCCTCGTTCGGCATGAAGATCTCACAATTCCCAAACCTGCACAGACGATCACTTTTTTCGATCACTTCCTTCATTGTCATTGTCGGCAACTGCTGACCATGGCCGATGAGCAGCTCACCCTCACCGTAATCACCAATGCGGAAGATGAGGATCTCGCTGCCAACGACAGTTACATTGACCTAAGAGATAATAACAGTGCCAGCAACAAGACCTCTGCAGCCATCAAGCAGTTCAACCACTTTCTCACGGGATACTGTCATTCGAAAGGTTATGAAGGTATCGTCCATGCCAACCAGATACCCTATGAAGGATTGGAGGGTATCCATGGCTTCAATCGGTATGGAACTGAACATCACCAGAAATGGTGGAGCGATCTTATTGGCTGCTTCTTCAACCACCTCGCCTTCAACGTGTACAAGTACCTGAACAAGGAGAAAGGTCCCATTGCCTACGATAGTGCAACCGGATATGCAAGTGCAATCAAAGTCTACTTCCAAAACAAATTTCGCTATAAGCAGCCCATCCTTGTTTTCATGGACCCGTCATGGAGGAAGCTTCGCAATCTACTCCTCTCCAAGTGTAAAGAACGAGCCCGCAAGAGTGACTGGAGACCGTGTCAGCAATTCGAAGACCGCCTCGACCAATGACGATCGAATTGCAATGGCGAACGCATGCTTCTGGCTTGGAACATCGGATTCAGCAGAATTCCATACCCTCAACACTTTCGCGTATCATTTGATAGGCAGAGGACGCGAGGTTTCCATTCTTAAGGCGATAGATCTAAGCCTGGTCAACGCTACGCAGATACACCACAACCGTTATCTGATTTGTGTTTCTGTTCAGAGAGATAAGGGAGGTGAGCTGCAAGAGTTGAACCTCTATCCCCACCAGTACTCCGTCCATCAAGACCCCTATTTCTCTCTGATCTACTCCCTGTTGGTCGGTAGTAGCGGCAAACCCCATCTCTTCCCGAAATTCAACCGAGAGGCCGTTGTTGTCGACAAGAATGAGAAGACAGCATCCAGGGTTGCAGCTTTTTAGCAGCTCTGTTTCAAGAACCTGTACAAGGAATTCAAGTCGCTGTCGGATTCACTCAATGCAAAGCTAACTTGCTATCATGGCCGAAAAGGCGCAAGCCAATTACTGGCTGAATCAGACTCAGGAGGTCATGCACAGGTCTTTCGAACAGGCTGGGAGTTAAGATCTACGCACTCCCTCTTTGACTACGTTTTATCCAGTAAGACTTTGACAAACAAAGCCGGTAAAGCTTTGAGTGCATGGACCGAAGCCTCCGATGTGTTACCGCCAACCTTAAAGTCAATTCGAACGAGTCCCAAGTTGTTAGATGGGTTCGTCACGTCACTGTTTGGTGAAGACCGCGATGAACTATGGCCCAGAAGCATCCGGAATGTATTGACAGCCTCTCTGTTGAGATTCTACGACGACTTTGTCCGTGCCATTACTCAACACCCCGATGACAGGTATGATGACATCACCAGGCACCCTTTGATCAATAGCATCAACCGCTCCATCAGATTCTCTAATGCCAACCATGAGATCTTCACCGCCTGGTGCAAAGAGGTTCGGCAAGGCTTCCTGACGGAGAATTTCCTTGCCATCCCACCCGAGTTCCTATCACCAAACGACCGTCGCGATATTGGGGACATCAAGGTCGACCCTTGCTCCCTGTTTGAGCATTACTCCCGACTTATCTCACAATACAACAGCCTCTTTCAACAGAAGATGGTCCTAGAAGAAGATGTCAACCGTCTCCGTGGTGATGTTGCAACTCTCACACAAAGTGTACAACGCCTCGAGAAAACCAATGCCGACCAGAATGCTATCATGTCCAGGCTAGCCAACATACTCGAGATCAAGTTTGACAGACAGATGAAGAAAGCAGCCCCTCCCCCCACTGACACAATGTTTTTCTCTGACAGCAGGAAACGTTGGAGGAGCGATCTCTCCATTGCTGAACAGTTCGTCCGTTATTTCACTGACAACTGTCTCGAAGGCTGGGAATTGGAGAAACAGAGTTCGGACTGGCAGAAGAAGTCACCACCTGAGAAGAGGAAAGTCGTTGGGCAGTACAGGCGATTGAAGAAGGTAATCAAGACCATGTTGTTCTTCTGTGATGAATACCCCCCTCGGGCACCGCAATCCCCTGAAGAGTTGGCTCCGTGGCAGAGGAAACTCTCTGCCCTAGCAGAGAAAGCGACGAAGAACTTAGAAGAGGAATTGTACAAAAAACCTACCGCTGGCTATATCATGGAGTCACCAATCGTTAAACAGTGGGAAGACCCCAACAGTGTGCTGGCAAAGGCACCACCGAAATCCACCCCTAGCAGCGCCATTGCGCATTTTGGATTCAATAATAGCTAGACTTAAACTACGCATCATCCAAATTAATCGTACCATCGGCATCAGAAGGGAAATCGATCGTATCATCGATCGTATCATCATCAGTACCATCGGCACCGGCGTCATCGACATTGGCGTCATCTTCTCCCGCGACGTCGTAGTTAATAACCTTGAAAGGAAGCTCAGACAAAGCCGTCAAAGCCATGATGAATTGCCCGCGTAGCCAGTGGTTGTCAAATTCGTTGACGTACTCTTCACAGACCTCATCACCTCCTTCAAACCACATCACATACAAGGAATCATCACCAGTGAGATGGAACTCAATCTTCACCGCGGTGCTAAGATCCTTAGACATCACAGCGTTCAAAGGACGCTCAATGTCTTCATGAATGTTGATTCCGTGGTAGTTAATATTAGCCATGGTTTGTTCGAGTTGTGGCTCTGCTGCAGAGTTGGTTCCATCAGTTTCGTACGACCTCAACGTGATTCGGTTTCGGTCCACGGTAACCACTCAGTCCACGGCACCCATCGTTTTTTACTGATTCCCATCGTGGATTCTCACGTTTTTCACGGTGACTCCCGCCACAATCCGACAACAAGAGCCAACAACAACAACCTTCGTCAGTTCCCTTTGTTACTTTGCCTTTGCAATGTTTACTCTTCTACATTTCTTCATCCTCATGCAGCTGGCGGTTACCGTCGATGCTACTTTCGAACACATCTACATGAGTGGAGATTACGAGCATCACTACCTTTTCGCTAGTGTCGCATTTTTTGTCGTTTGGGATGCTGGTGTCCGGACTATCAAGGATGTGATCGCGAATATCAACAATGATGGGAATGCCGGTGATGCAAGAGTTCCCGAATACCGTCGTTGGTTGGCCCTTGTTCGCGCCTTCGGTCTTCACTGGGGTGGTGGATTGATTCCTGGTGACATCAAGGCAGCTGTCAACGACGTTGAAACAAACATTGGAGTCCACGTTACCGATTGGGATCATGAACTCCCTGCTCCTTACGACGAAGATACGGATGATGATGACAGCGAAGAAGAGGAGTAGGACTGAGGCAGACGGAGGCATTGAGTGCCCTTGTGCATCCTTATATCTCGGAGCAACAACAAAAAAACAGATATAATAACCTATAAAAAATAAAATCTTATGCTTAAGGTTAGAAGCCATTCAATCCTGGTGCGTTCAAAAATTCAAAATTCAAACTTCAAATTGGATGATGGAACCAGAGGGGGGTCTAGCGAAGCGCGTGAAAGGCGAGATAACCTTAAAACCCTAGGTTAAGGTTATCAATGTCTTGATACTATTATTACCCCCTCTGGTTCCATCATTCCTTTGTACTGTTTCAGTATAGAAAAAAGAGTGAAAAGGCGGACCGCGCGCCAGCCGATCCATCCTTTTAACCTACTCTTTTTTCTGTAGTACTTTTTTAAGAGTGGACCGCCCTTAAGTTTTAGTTCCCCAGTTTCCCTAGGTGACGCGTCCACTCAATGAAAAGCCCTTGCTGTATTGATTTTATTTAACAACCAGTTCCCCTTTAAGCCACCGTGGCGTCTGAGCGGTACCAACCTACAGCCACCGCGGCGAATGAGCGGTACCGCCTAACCCTTTAACACCGAATGATGGCCGCTACGAACCCTAACCCCAACCCTTTAACCCTAACCCTAGTCGATATTCAACCCTTTAACCCGTTAACCCTAGTCGATATTCAACCCTTTAACCCGTTAACCCTAGTCGATATTCAACCCTTTAACCCGTTAACCCTAGTCGATATTCAACCCTTTAACCCGTTAACCCTAGTCGACCTCCAACCCCCGCAATCCCGGCAACTCCAACCCCGGCAACCTCAACCCTATCGAGTTTCCCGGCAACTCCAACCCCGGCAACCTCAACCTTACCATCTCTAACTTCTATATGGTGTAATTTGAGAAATTGGACCTCCAACCTTAACAGCTTATCTCATAAATCATGAAATGGGAAGACTGCTCCAAATTCCTATGGTACTGTAGGACAAATCGGAAAGATTTTGAGAATATGCCTGCAGTCGATCTAACTGGATGTCCCATAGGTGCATCCAAACCACCTCAATCTAAAATGCAATTAACTCCATCCCGAACCTCATATTCGATGACCGTTACGCCATAGTTGGGCACGAAAGACCGCCCCATAATAAGAATAGCAGCTTCAGGATTCGATCTCACGCTATCTTCACACTCAGCCTCAGTATAGCCAGGATGCAATGCAAAATGCATTTGGCTGCAGTAAGGGCACCTATATCTAACCTCCCCCTTCCCCCTTCGAGCAATAGGAACACCGTAAAACGCCATTAACCTTTCCCTCATTTCTTCCAACGACTCCTCTGACTCCTGTCTGGGTTTGTTTGACTCCTGTCTGGGTTTGTTTGACTCCCGTTTCAATATCTTCCTTGGTCTTTGCTCCACCGACTTTTCATCCTGACTCGATGACTTATTTGACCCCTGACTCGATGACTTATTTGACCCCTGACTCGACTCTTGTCCCGCCAAGTTTGACTCCTGTTCCGACGACTTATTTGACTCCGACTGCTCACCCTCCACGTCTCCTTTTTTCTTTACTAGATGCTGAATAAGCTTGGATGTCGCCATTGTCCCCTCCTCCTCCTCTAGACTATTTAAGATTGTTTCGATGCTTTGCATTTTATTCCTAGTCCTAGATTAAAAAATGATTGTGATCACTTGCGCGAATTGCTCCTTGAATGACTATCTGACAATGACAAAGTTCATGAAGCGACCGTTCGTGACTGAAGCGTTCTTAACATTCGGCCAAAGGATGCTGCAACTTGTTTGTGTGATTGATCCTAATGAAGAAGTAAACACCTCAAACTGGCTACCCCCTGATTGCACGATCCAGGTAATCGAAGACGACGAAGAACTCGATCAATCCACATCGATTGATGGCTGTCTTCTAATCGCGATGTCTAGTGTCGAATTAGAACTACTGCAATCCAAAAACTTGAAACACACCTTGAACCGGATCGGCGATAGATTAGGGCTGGTGCTATCCGCAAACTCTATCCTAATCGAATAAGAATTACAATTTTCAATTTTAATATAATAAAAAATCAAAAACCCCATCCGTGCATTTCTTAAATCCATCCAGCACGTCGAGGATTTAATGATCGCAAGATTACGCTAACCGGTGACCACCTAGCAAGATGTTCCAGCGTGTTCCAATGCAGCATCGCAAAGCGAACAACCTGGCAAGATTTTTCAGCATGTTCCAATGCAGGATCGCTAACCGGTGACCACCTAGCAAGATGTTCCAGCATGTTCCAATGCAGCATCGCAAAGCGAACAACCTGGCAAGATATTCCAGCATGTTCCAATGCAGGATCGCAATGACCAACCCTTAAGTCCACCCAGTCCGGGATCCCGGTCAAAGACTTAGAGTCGTGCGAACCCCCATGATCTAAGGTGCGAGTCATTGATGTCGCGGTAAGGCAGGCTTGATCGCTTGGTAATTAGGCAGTTAGCGGTTATCTGGGATAACCCCCGGTCCACTGTTTCCACCCAGGAGTCTCACGAGGTCATCCTCGCACACCATACAAATAAACAAGTTACCAATCTGGAAAACGCAAAAGATCAAAGAAGCTACTACACTTACCGAAAATGACCTGTGGTAGCGATTTATGACTATCCAGTTACCAGATTACTAAAATCAACCACACAACAACAACCAAGTAGTAACACACACAACTATAGCAACCTCTCTATCAACACCACCATCATCAGCCTTTTTCGGCTTATCAGGCGTGGAAGCTACTACGATAGATAGAAGAACAAGCAAGCGATCGGTCGTTCGACAAGCACAAGAGGAAGACCGGTAGCAGCGCCGTTCGTTCGTTCGTTCGTTCGTTCGAACGCCATTGTCGAAGCTACCGTCCGAACGCGACGAGAAGAAGAACTACAAGCAAGACGACGTTCGAAGCAACGCTCTCGTACCGTTCGTTCGTTCGAAGCAACGAAGCGGTCATTGTCGGCCGTTCGAATAGCAGCGCCATTGTCGCTACCGAAGCTACCGTCCGAAGCTACCGTTCGAAGCTACCATTCGAAGCAACGCTCTCGTACCGTTCGTTCATTCGAAGCAGCGCCATTGTCGCCGATTCGAAGCTACTGTTCGAACAGAAGAAGAGAAGAAGAAGAGAAGACATCCAAGCGGCATAGCAACAGAAGACCTCTCAAGAAGAAGGGGCTCTCTCAAGTGGAGCGAGAGATAGAGACTTCCAAGTGGGAAGCAGAGGTTTGGACTTGGAATATTGATCCCTCCAGTCTGGATCAACTCCTGCCTCATTGTCACCAAAGAAACCGGTTGAGCCAAGGAGAGGGGACGCCTGATCCAAGAGTTTTGGCCTAGATTGCCACAGACTGGGTGTGCAGAGCTCATTCCCTGGAATACAGCTTTACATGTCTGGGTGTGTACAGTTTGCTGTTGGAATAGGAGCAGAGAAGAAGACCCAACAACTGTTGCTCATCCAAGTGATACCGCAAGAGAAGAAGTAATTGGAGGCGAATATGGCAGGCAATCTTGCAGCCATGAACAACTATCTACAGAATACCATCGGTATTGCCGAACTAGCCACAAGGACAGCATTGAATGATCAAGGATTGGATGCCTTCGTCTCACTCGATACCTTTACCGATGCCGATATCAAGAGCATCTGCGAGAATGTGAGGAAACCAGGCGGTACCATTCCAAATCCAGCCATTGCGGCTGCAGCCACTGACGAAGCTGCCGCAGCACTTCAACCCAGAGAAGTTCCCAATCGTGGACGACAGCTGGGATTTGTCTTTGAGAAGCGACTCAGACAACTACGGTTCTACAAGTTTCACATGACACGAATCCAGCGTGAGTTCACTCCCAACCAAGCCAGTTTGGCGAGACTGAATAGAGTTTGGGCTTTATACGAGTCCGAACGAGAAGAGATCGATGTTGCGGATCCTCCCCAACTCTTGAAGGTCGAAGATGTCCGACGAGTTCTGGAGTCCATTGACAACGTGCTGAATGTCAAGCGAGGCGTTTGCGGTGCCCCTTTGGCTTATGTTACGAGATCCCAAGTCACTTTGCCAGGAGCACCTGATACTGACACTGCAAATGAGGCTGACCCAGGTTTTGGCCTTCCATCGCATCCTGAAGAATTGGTTCGGAGAACAAGACATACCGGACCTCATTTCGTACAAGACAATCAGGCTGTTTGGGCCATCATTCGGTCGGTTACTCACGGTGGACCTGGTTGGACATGGGTCCAACGTTGCGCAGCGCAACAGAACGGTTGAGCAGCTTACTTGGCCATGAAGGTTCACTATCTTGGTGATTCGTTCCAGGCTCGTACCAAGGCATTCGCGGATAGAGCCATTGAAACTACTTTCTTTGATGG